CGGTGTATATATAACGTTATGCATAATATATATAATATATATATATATATACATAAGATTGTTTGATTACATTTCAAGATACGGCGATCCGTGGAACCGCCTGACGTCGTTAGACATGCACTGTGTTCGTTCTTTCGTACTTTCACAGCAAGACCCGCAGGCCGTCTGCTTCGGACAGCCAGAAAGTTGCTGCTCGCAGTTGTGTAAAGTCGGTCACAGCCAGGATCTCATCTCCAGGCGTGAACAACGAGCTGAACAGCATCTTCCTTTGAAGGGTGCATTTGCGCACCAGCAGCAAAGGCCTGTCGTTTTTGTCCAGGCAACAATGCTCAACAAAGCCACAAAGCGGGCTGACCAGGAAATCATTTGTGCTCCATCTGATCCCCTCGAGCCTGAAGCCTTTGATTTTGCGGAGGTGGTGACCAAGCAGAAGTACAGGCTCCGGGTTCCCAAAGATCTGCATTTGAAGAGCATCATGTCGACTCTGTAGACTGTCCAAGCAACTAAATAGCATTCTAGACAGCACAGCCTTGGCGAAGGGTTGCCTGCCAACACAGCTATCTGTGTTTTTGTTGGACACAGCTTTGTAGCTCTGATGCTTTTTCTCAGCTGGCTCGGTGTCTATCCACATACCAGCCACATCAGTCATTTGTGCTGGCATGTGCAATCTCCAATGGTGCTTCGGCCGCATGGCGTCCTTGTAGCAGTTTGCCACAGCCGATTGATGCGCGACTTGTAGTCGCTGCAGGTCTGACAGGCCTGCGCTGCCATGGCCCGCCTTCAGTTTGGCCAGCTGCAGCCGTATTTGCAAGAGCAGACCCAGAGAGTGCAGCTCGCGCTGCAGCTGCGCCTGCGGACGGGCTGCACCCAACTCTTCCAGGAAGCATGCCAGCAGGGGCAGGAGAGCTCGACAGTCGGTCGCGCTGCCTTTGTAGGTTCCTTCTCCGAAACGAGAAGGGTGAAAGAGCGCAGCGCGCCAAGCCGGGCTCTTGCTCGCCACGCCAGCAGGTCTACACCATCTGCTTTGCTTGGCCATGGCTGCCAAGTCGCTGGGCTCGATCTGCATGTTTTCTTTCACCCGCGTCATGAGCAAGGCAATCTCGGAAGCAGCCACGCCGCCGCTGGTCCAGTAAGTGTGCATCACATCGAACAGCATCCTGGACGGCGGGAGTTCGGTCCTCAGCAGCTGATCTTGCAACAACGACTTCTCATGAAAAGTGAAGCCGCTCAGAGTCTCCTCTCTGCTGAATGCTGTCGCGCTCAGCACGCTCTTGCGTGCTCGCTGTTGGTCTGCCCAGGTGAAGATCTCGGCGTCTGTAGAGAGGCTGAATTTCTCAGGCTCAGCACAGCAGATGTCGACAGCCCAGGAATCGTGAAGACTTGCCTTCTCATGACCTCGGGAGAAGACATTTTTGCAGAGATGGCACGGCTTCATGCCGGCGCCGCCAGTGCATGTCAGTGCGGATCTCAGAGCGTCCCCATCACAGACGGCGCAGGACAGCTTGCAGCGGAGAAGGAAACATTCGCGCCTGCACCTCAGGTGTGATTGGGTTATGTGTAGTAGCTATATCACTCTACCTGGGTACAGTGGGAGTATAGAAGCCCACGACAAAAAATCATGCTACGTCTCAAAACCATGTTGGCTGTATGGCAATGCCGTGGTCCAGCATGTCGTTCCTGAGGACTTCCAGCAGTGGACGCAGCAGAGCGCCCATCCCGCCTTTGTCTTTCTTCAAGGCGGCTGATTGTACGAGTCCAATCGGGAACCAATCAGCCGGATCCCGCACGCCGCACTCCATGATGCAGCAATATACAACACAGCTCTTTTTGCCGGTATTGGCTCGCAACACATTACCGCTGGTAGTGTCGTCCCATGAGATGCACAGTCGGAGTGATTCTCGGCCAGCATGAGAAGCGGTGTGCAATCGCTCTGCCAGCCACTCATGCTTGCCGCAGAAGAACTGAATCACTCGACCGACATGAGCCACACATGCTGTCTCCTCGCCTAGATCTATGTCGAGCAGGAGATCACGTGGCAGTGCGTCCGCACTTTCTGTGCGCACAGCCTTGCGCGAGCATGCCAGTGCTTTGGCAATGGTGCACTCGGCTGTGCCAGCGGACAGCAAAGCCCTCGCTGCGGCCGGGTCTGGCAGCTGACGCTTGCGACCTCGTTTGCCGCCCATGCTTCGACAAGGCTATGGCGAGGAGAGTCGGCCTACATGTCTGCTAACGTGTGTTTAACGTACGCAGGTTTCAGGGTTTAGGGTTTAGGGTTTTGGGTTTATATAAGGGTTTCTGGGTTGTACATATAGGGTCCATATAGGGCTTATTTCTATAGGGTTGAGAGTTTAATTATATGGGAACATTGCATGTGGAGTCCTAGACGAGGCATGCAGGCGGCGGCGTACTGTCATGGTCCTCCCCGCTCACAAGAGGCTTTCTACAGCGACCCCAAGAGCCGCCTCAGCACATGTATGCAGCAATTCACATGTATACCCAAATGACATGTCATATATATGTGGATCTACCCGAAACTTTGAAGCGGTCCGGAGAACCGCCAGCAGGATGATACACACACGGTCCTTTTTTACTCCTCTTCTTGCCACGTAGGGTCGTCCAAGCAAGCGCGCGACTCGGGCAGGAACAGCACTTTGCTTAAGTCCCTGAGCGCCTGGTCCGCCTCTAGAGCGAAGCGCGAGACGGTTCGCAGGACTCTCCTGCACGCGACCACACGCGCTTCCACTTCGCTGCTGCTTGCAGCGTCAGGCGAGGCCAAGCGGGTCGCAGACGCGCCCAGCTGCGAGGCGGCTGCGGCCGAACCTTGTTCAGGGTGTCGCGGCTCTGCCACACTCTGAGCTACCGCCTGAGCCAACGTGGGCTCTTCACCGGCTGCAACCTCCTGCTGCGGCTGCTCGCTCCAGGCCCCACCTGTGCGGCAAAGAATATTTAGAACGGAACCGATCTATATATGTATATATATATATATAGAGACTATATATATAGAGATTCATATATTATATATAGTGTGTACATATCAATATATCTGTCTCTTCATGCAGATACGCGCGAGTATATATACACAGCGACCCGGAGGGCCGCCAGTATATATGTGCCTATCCGCGCATGCAGGACATGCGTCAGAAGGGCCTTCGTGCCAGCCTTGCCAGCCTTGCCAGCCTTGCCGGCCCCACCAGTCTTCCTGCGGCGGCGGCGGCAGCTCACGCGGGCGCTTCCATGGCCTCCCACCGTCACCGTCCATGTTTGAGCAAGCACAGCTGCCGGTGGGACGGGTATACCTGGCTGCAGCAGCGAGGGCTTGCACAGTCAAGCAGGCGGCCCGCAGAGCCGCCTTGTTATGTACGTGTACAGACACGCAGGCAACCTTCCATATATATACTGGCACGGCGGCGACCCAGAGGGCCGCCCAGACGCAGGACGCTATATACACAAAAGGCACTTGAGAGTTTTTGTTTCTCCTGCTGCGCAGCTTGCATTAGCCGTGTCATGTTCTATACACATATAGGAGCATTAGCAAGACCAGAGGCACCGCTTAGTCAACGGACTCGAAGAAGCTGACTATGGTTCCGCCTGGCATGGGCGCAGCCACTGCCTGCTGTCTCGTCCAGCAGCGAGCCGAGTGCGTTTGGCCCTTGCGGCAGCCAGAGCAGCAGTGCAGTCGACCCCCTTGGACATGACGACAGCACCCTGTACTCCAGCAAAAGGATGGCGCTGCCGTCCTCTGCTGCCGGCTCAAGCAGCGGTGGCTGTGTTCAGCTCCACCAGAGCCCGCGCAGCGCGAGCAGCAGTGTCGGAAGCCGTGCCCCGGCTTGCGGTCGCAGCCATGCGTCATGCAGTCTGGCCGCAGTGCATGCGTGAGAGCGCTCATGTCGCATGGGTCTCTGTACATGCACGCACGCGCAAGGCTCGAGCCGTGCTGCAAGACATGCATCCATTTTCCGTGCCACACATTCGAGCCCGGCAATGCAACTTAAACATGCCCCCCCCCCCCCGCGCAAGCACTCGAAAGCACAAGCGACCCGGCGAGCCGCCATGTGACAGCGGCCACGGAAATCAGCGAGCGATCTGATTTTGCCCTGCCGCCATGTCCATGGAAGCACATGCAGTCTTCTGCTGCGTGTATACGTCCCTGCCGCCAAGTCGCCATCGAGGAGTCCAGGAGTTTAGGTCTCGCCAGTCTTCCTCTTGCGAAGCATCTTGCGCAGGCGCTCTTGAGCGTCCTTGGCCAGCCACGGGCTGCGCGGCTGGGACGCAGGGATGAGCGTCACGTCGGAGCGCGGCGGCGGGGAGTCCTCTTTCTGCTCGCTCTTGTCGGTTGCCTCGGGCTCGGCCTTCACCTTCTGGCGGACGGGCGTCTGCTCCAGCATCTTCTGCGTACTCGAGCCGCTGACTGCATACGAGCCGCCCGTTCGGTAGCGCTTGCGTACATTCTCACCCAGAAGCTCCAGTGCCACCTCGCTGTTCTTCTGCAAGGCAAAGGCATGTGCGATGTTCATGCAGTCCATGTGCTCTTTGCCATAGAAGAGTCGAACACGACCTTCCTCCATGCGCCAGGATCTAGAGAAGCCGGGCATGACTGCTCTGCATGCAGTGTCACCGATACTCGAGCAAGTGGCTGTATATACAAAGCAAGCATGAATGCTGCGCAGGACATAGGCAGGGCTATCGTTCCTGCTTCAGCTATATATATATATACAGCGCATCCACTCAGCGAGCCACAGCGAGCCACAGCGCCCGCCGCCGTCAAGTATGCGTGTTCACTACTCGAAGCGCTTCCAGCAATGCTGCCAGGTCGTGTCATGTCTGCACACGCATGCAATGCGTGAAACTGCACTCAAGCCAATGCTTTGCGATGGTGATGAAAACAAGGCGAGGCAAATTAATGCGTCGCGTGCTGAAAAGCGCGCGACCGCAGTCGCTGAATTGTGCATGCCCTTCCGGAGTGAGGACTCGGAGGCAGGAAAGAAGAAGGGCCCAGCTTCTCAGTCGTCGTCAGGGTCGAAAGGCGCGTGCTGTTCGGGCTCTTCGGGCTTCTCTTTGGGCTCGGCGTCCTCGCCGTCCTTCTGCTCTTTGGCAACCTCTTTCGGCAGGTCCACGGCTGGCTTCCTCTTGCTCTTGGCCTTGGCGGCCTTCTTGCAGCTGGCCAGCAAAACACCATGCGCGGCCTGGTAGTCCGTCTCCCGAAAGGTCATGTGCTCGAGCTTGTTCGTGTCCAGGAAGCGCAGGGCGGACGTCTTGTAGCCGAGAAGCGTCTCGAGACTGGGCTCGTCCTTGTACTGCTTGCGGGACGCCAGCATGGTCACCTGCGAGACAACCCTGGTGGCCAAGCGCGTGCAGGAGGACAGCTCGACCTTCTTGGCCTTCTCCATGGCTCTGTCCAGTTTGGACTGCTGCCGCTTGCGTTTCTGGCCCTTGGCTTTGCCGTTCTGCTCGCTCTTGCCGGACTGCTCGTCGGACAGCTCGGCCTCCAGCACCTCCTCTAGGGCAGGCTCGGCAACGTTGCCGGGCTTGTGTCGCGGACGAAGCGACAGGGTGGCCGTCACGGCCTGCGCCTGCTTGAGCAGGGTGGCCGATGTCTCGGCTTCCAAACGCACGGACCAGGTGTCTCCAAGTTGCTTCGACTCGCGCTTGGTTCCGTGCTGCTGGATGCGCTGGACATCATATCCTTTTTGTTGCCATACTGATAAAGGATAAAAAGGACTGAAGGAGGTCTCCCCGGAGCTACGCTCCAGCGTCCTGGAGATTGTCTGAGTCATGGCGGCACGAACGCGGTCGAACTTGAAGCGGCCGTTCTCCTTCATGGCCGAGGCTTGCTTGTAAAAGGTGGCCAAGTCGTCGGAGGAGAGGTTGTCGAAACTGGCAGGTGTCTGCAGCTTTGCCAGGTAACTCTGCAGCCTGTCGCAGGACACACAGACCCAGCTGACACTGCTCTTCTGCCTGCCCTCCACCTGCTCTGTGCCGCACTTGGAGCACACCGGCATGAGGCCAAGGAAGGGCAGGGAGAGGTGCTACAGACAGAGGCTGGCGAGCAAGCAGCTGCAGCAAAGAGAGGATTTGGGACTATTGCTGAGGCAAAACTGGACAGAAACGGACCCCGGGCGAAAGGCAGCAGAAGGCAGCGGGAGGCAGCAGGGGCCTGCTGCCTCCAAGGCAGCCGGGCCGGGAAGTCTGCAGGGCTTCGAGAAACTGTCCCCCGCTGCCTTTGCCTGGGGGTCTGGGCAAAGGCAGCGGAAGGCAGCGGGAGGCAGCGGGCCTACCTGACTACACTTTCCCTGCCCTTGGGGGGCGAGTAGAGGGTGTAGTTTTTCATCTCCCGTGAGACTGCTGGCAGTAAGGCCGGTCCGAAAGAGCAGAGACTCGGGCAGCTCGAAGAAGCAGGAGACTATGGACTTGGGCTCTGCTCAGGCTGGGAAGAGAGAAGTCCCGAGTGTCACAGAAGCGAAACTGCTGCTACAGAGCCCGTACTACTTCGAAGATTCCAGAACTCAGAAGAGGAGAGCAGCGGGGCAGAGTGCTATAGGCAAAGCTGCTGCTGCAGCGGCCCTCCGGACCGCCGCTGTAGCCCGCAAGCACGGATGAGCAAAAGCTTTATTCAGGAACCCATCTTAGAGCTGGAGATATCTACCGTGCCTGCTTCTGAACAGAGACCCCACAGTGTGCATGCTCGTGCCATGGGACTGCGACGCAAAACTCCCTGGATCAGGCCAAGCGACCCAGTGAGCCGCGCTGGCGCTCACACACTCTTTTTTTCTCCAGCACCTCGTCCGAGCAGTTGCACTGCAGGTTACATAGGTTTATAGGGTTTAGGGTTTCGGGACTTTTGAAACACCAACCCGAGGGAAAAGCAGAACCAAAACCAACAGAAAAAACAAAAAACAACCGAATGACATGGAAAACACAGACAAAAACAAGCCAAACAAATAAAAAACAACAGTTTTGAAAATCGTATTTCTAAAGGAGGTACTTTTTTTTCAGGTTTAGGGTTTAGGATTTAGGGTTTAGGGTTTAGGGTTTAGGGTTATAAGGTTCCACGGTTTAGGGTTTAAAGGGTTTAAGGTTTAGGGTTTATAGGGTTTTGGGTTTCGGAGTCATTGGACATTCTTTGTCCCCGGCAAGGAGAGGAGGTGCAGTAACTCATGCCACACCTACACTGCGCAGTTTGGCTGTTAGCGCGGCTGCGGTGAGCACCCAAGCAGAAGCCCTGCCATGCTGCATGCCAGGACGCCTGCAGCGACCCAGCGAGCCGCGGGCGTGACTCTACACTCCAACACAGAAGCGCGGCAGCGACCCGGCGGGCCGCCAAGGTTATAGCAAGTGGCAAGAAGCATTCTCTACCCCTATACGGACTGTCGTGAGACTTTTTTGCACGCGCCGCCTGGAAGTTCCCTGCCAGCAGTCGCTGTTATAACTCACGAGGACCCGGGGTCTGCTTTTCTACCCTCCTCCTCCCTCTCACTGCGAGCCGCTGCATGCGCCGTCAAAGCAGCGCGCACGGCAGCCTGCAGGCGCTCCAGGTACTCCGTGGGCCACTCCACCATCTCTGCCGGCAACAAACGCGGCTCGATGTCCTCGAAGGCCAACAGGAAGGCCGACGGCTCGAACTCGGAGCTCGTCTCCATGGCTGTCCAGGCGGACGCGTCTCCGAGAGTAAGTACTCCAGGCCGGCGGCTGCAGCGGTGCTGTGCCATGCCGCATGCAGTGCAGTATATAGACGTGCGTGCTTAAACATGCAAACGCAGGTGGTGCCGGCCGCGGCCCGGCGAGCCGCAGGAGCGTGCACATGTCTGAGCGATGCTTTTCGTATACCGAGAAACATGTGTGCCCATGTACAGACTCTATATGTACGATCGCAAACAAAGGACGTCCTACCAACATGCTTGACATGACACTGTGTATACATGCAGCCCGCGGCCCAGAGAGCCGCAGGTGGTATGCATCTTTGCAAACGTGAGGCCAACCCTAAACTTAAACCCCCAAACCCGAAACCTATATGTACCCATATTACAAACCCTAGATATACCCTATATAATCTCTATAAACCCTCCACAGGCCCTATACCCTAAACCTTAAATAAATAAATAAATATATATATATATATATAACCCTGCACCCTAAACCCTGCACCTTCTATACACTTTTCTCTAATATGTATAAACCTTTGCAAGCGTGAGGCCAACCCTAAACCGTAAACCCATATATGGGATAGAAACCCTATATATATATATATCCATATATATATATATATATCCATATATATATATATATGTATATATAGGGCGCGCCTTTTTTCTTTTTTTCTCCCTCCTCTCCCTCTCCTCCTTTTTTCTTTTCCCCCCCCCCTTCTTGTGCTTCTTCTTGCAGACCCGTTCCCGCTGTCTCACTGTGGTGTTCAGCAGGAAGCTCGCAACGAGCGCTTCGCTCTCCTTCTGGTCTGCAGCTGGCGCCAGCGCAGGCGGCTGTGGCGGCGGAGAGTCGACCGCCTTCCAGAGGGGCAGGGCCTCCCAGGCACGGAGGAAGTTGACTGCAGTCTGCATCTCGAGCCGGAAACCACGCGCCGAAACAATGCATGGATTTGCGTTGAAACACCCAGACAGCTGCGCAGGCGGGGGCAGGTATGAAAGTAAATCTCTTTCCGGCAGCGGCCCGTCGGAGCCGCCAGGGTTGCTGCCCGGGATATATGTATAAATACAGAAGCAGCAGCCCGGAGAGCTGCCAGTCTTCTCGCAGAAGAGATGTGTGTGTGTGCATATATGTACACATTCAGTATGTAGACACGTGCATGCTATACTTTTCTTGCGTCGGCAGGCCCCTCGTCAGACGACTTTTGCGTCTGGATTGTTCGGCGTGGCGTGTCGGGCCACATCATCGGCCACGCATGTTGCCTCCACGCGGCTGCTGCGAGCATTGGGCGTGTCGAAGTGAACACGAAGATCTCGACAAAGCATGACCTGCGCAGGACTATATGTATAGGAAAAAATGACGAACCCATTCCATGCCAGTTGGTCGTGCCTCTCTCGAGCGATCACCGCGCCCTAGCATCAAGACCATGGTCGTTGAGGACGCAATGTCCGCCTTCACACCCTGCGGCTTCTTCATGGCTCGCCCTATAGGCAGGAGTCGCGCCGGACACTACGTGTATCTGCAGCCTCGCTGAAACGTCGCGGGCAGCGTGTTGGCACTTGCCATGGCCTATAGACGGAGGTGCAGGGGATGAGACACAAGAAAAAACATGGCCCGGAAACAAACAAAAGCCACAGCGCGAGGACGGCCTGCGCAGCACGGCAGCGACCCGGCGGGCCGCCGCTACACGACGCAATCTGTTGCTGCACGCATGCTGTCTGGTCTATATATGCACATATAAACCCTTAGACACAAACCCGAGACCGCTATACAGAAAGCCTATATAAACCCTTCGGCCTTTCAAGACCTTAACCTTGCAAAGTACAAACCCTACAAGCTCAAAACCCCAAGCCTATATAATTATGTAGTATATATCTATATAGACCCATATCGACACTGCATATGTCTGATGCGCTGCGACAGCGGCCTCGCAGAGCCGCCTGCATGCCTCCTGCCTCGGTTCACGACGTCACGTTCGTGGAACAGGCATGTACATCATGTATAACCCGCACCCGTAACCCGTGCAGCGTTTCTCGAGGACATGCAGCGTCCGGACTGTCCCTATAGACGGCGTGCAGGCAGTGGCGAATTGCTGCAAGCAGAAGCACCACGGGCTCCTGCGGCAAATTCTTGCAGCGAATTGCTTCAAGTTCCTTGAAGCTGCTTGCAGGTACGGGTACATAGGCCACGCCAACCGACGTGACAGGTCGAAAAAAACTGTAGGTGAACACTCGTCGTCTGCTGCTGCCACATGCCAGGAGGTCGCGCGTGATGCGATGAGCGTGCATCCCGCGCAGCGAAGAAGCTCATTACCACTGGCCCCTGTACTTGTAGCAGGAGTCCGTACAGCCGATGCAAGAATTCCTGCACTTCTTGCAGCCATTGGCGTAGCGTTTCAGCAAAGACACAGACAAGCCGTGCGCCCTTCTCCTTGCCCAGTTCTTGCGCCGCAGGGCCTCCTGCCTCTCCAAAGCCGCTGCTGTCCGCTTCTTGCCAAGCTGCTTCTTCGACTCAGCCACAGCACAGGCCGTCTTCTCGGCCTGCTTCTTCGGCACAGCTTTCATGGACTTGCCGGACTGCTTCTGCTTCTCAGGGACGACTCGGATGGCCTTCGTGGCTTTCATGGCCTTGATGGGCTTGCTGGGCTTCTGCTGCTGAGTCTTCGCTTTCGGACCAGGCTTGGGACCCGGCTTGCGTCCAGGCTTCTTTGCTGGGTCCTGGCTGCTGTTCTTCTCGATTTTGTCCTTCTTCAAAACATCCACCATCGAAGCAAAGTCCAGGGGCCCTGCTGCGGCTGCCTGCTCGGCTGCCGGCTCGGCTGTCAAGTGCTCGCCTGCCTGGTTGGGAAGCACAGCAAGCGCAAAGGCTGCTTGCTCGGAGGACTGCTTCGCCGGCACAGCAAGTGCAAAGGCCGCTTGCTCAGAGGACCGCAAGGCTGGCACAGCAAGTGCATGGGGCTCTTGCTTTGGCAACTGCTTGGCCGGCACAGCAAGTGCAGAGGCTGCTTCCTCGGATGACTGCTTTGCCCGCAGGCCGAGCAGAGCCCGAGCTGGAGGAGAGACGGGCACGGCGGACTCCTGCACTGGAGCCGGAGGCAGCCAGCCAGAGGCGGCAGAGCTGAGCTCAGTGCCCTGACTGTCATCGCTGGTGCTCGCTTGGGAATGCACATCCTTCAACGAACTGCCTGCAGGCAGCCCAGCCTGAGGTCCCTGGAGGCCATCAGACGACGGCCTCTTCAGGAGCTGAAAGCCCGGCAGCTCTTCGGTCTCCTGGAATGCTTGAAGCAACTGCGACAGACGGGAAGGGTCCCGAGCCAAGTCCTGCAAAAAACCAGACGCATTGCCCGATGCTGTCGAAGCTGGGGGCAGCAGACGATGCGTCTTGCGAAGCGGTACCAGCTGATGCAATGAGAGCACCTCGGCCAAAGGCATGGGCATGGGTCGTTGCGGCACTGTGTTCGTGAAGATGGTCTTGTACATGTCTGTTGCCATCTGCAAGGGCTCAAAGGGAAGCTCACGAAGGAGGAACGCGCGATTGGTAGAGGTGCCAGCTCGCAGCACCGACAAAGTGTACTTCTTTTGCCGCTTGAAGACGTGGAAGATGGTGCTGGCATTCGACAGCAGCTTCTGGTCTGTCAGATGCGTCACAGCGGTGATCATGCCGTGCGTACTCTCCGAGGGACTGTTGAGGCCGAGACGGGCAAGGAAACCGAGGAGACTGTGCTGCTTCGTAGCAACCGTCGTCTTGGGATCCAAAAGCAGCGACCACACATCGCTATCGAAGTAGCAAGCCATGGCGGTGTAGTTCTGCAAGCTGCGGGTGTTGCTTTCCAGAAGGCGATCTGTTGCCGCTTGGACTAGCTGATCCTTGTAGCTGCGACTGATGTCACACGACTCCAACGCCTGCTTGAATACCTCGAAGTCACTCAGCCGAAAGTCAGACAAAGATTTCAGGTACGAGAGGACGACCTCCTTCTGCTGCTTCACGATGCGGTCCTCGACCACTCCGGCATTGGTGCAGTAAGTGCTCAGGGCACGAAGAGAAGTCGTCACGGCTTCCATGCTGTTGCTCTATGGGTGCAGGAACCGACAGGGACGCCTCTGGAAGCCAAACCGTACGTGCACATGTGAGTGCAGTTGTGGCTTTGACAACAGCGACCGCTGTGACCGCCAGCTGCTTCCACGAAACAAACGGAGCACAACACGCACCATGCGTATGTCTTACATCAGTCAAACCCTCTTTCCAGCGATCCGAAATGAACCGCCGGGCACTAAATAGCCCTCCTGTGTCTGTGTAGCATGCTCCATGGCCGCTATTGCGCAGCGGGCCTGAGAAGCCGCCGCATGCTTTCGATATCATTAACACCCAATAACGAAGAAATACAGATGTTAGAAAATGAACGAACAACGCAAGTATATGTATGTTTCCTTCTGATGAGAAATACATAAATAAAAATATACATGTATGTGTATATTTTCATTTACATATATATATATATATACACACTGCATAATAACCGTATTACATTACTATAATGTATATATACAAATAAATATGTGTATATATATATGTGTGAAATTCACCACAGTATATCAGGAAGCGAACCTGTGATCCGCCTGGGACTCTAAACAGTCTATAAGCAAATATACATCCATATACATCCATATATATATATATGTAAATCTATATATACATATACATATATATATAGTTTTTTCCCTGCAGACGTGATTGAGCACCAGAACCAACGCTCGATTTTCGGGCATGTCCCGCCCCCCCCGCCCACCCCCCCCCCCCCCACCCCCCCTCCCATGATTGCAAAGCTTCTCTGCCACCAAAAAAATGTAGATAGATATCTGCATGTATGTATATATGTACATATGTATATATTGCATAAGTGTATATATTATATCTATACACATATATATATCTCTACCTATCTGTGTTTTGTTTATTCTTGCCTTTGTGTATATATGTCTATAGAAAGATTTCATTTCTCTATATATTTATTGACTTTTTTTTATGTGCTTGTACAAACTGACATATATATCCATGTATATCCATTTTCTCCTTCTCCATAACAAAAATAGGTGGCGTTCTTGGCACGTTTTCACATAAATGATCAAAACCTACGTGGAGAAACATGCAAACCTAACTTTTTCGCTGGTTTTGTTGTTGCTTTTTTGACCGCCAAGCTAACTTCTGCTAACTTTCCTATCTGCAAAGCTAATTATGTTATCTTCTGTTAAGTAGTTATAGCGACTTATAACTACTTAGCGTTGCCCCAACACTAAGTCGTTATAAGTCCTTATAACCACACCTATGTTGGGACAAAGATAGCGTTAGCTAGCACCGGACTTAGCTCACTTACAAGAGGACTTGACCCACTTACAAGCATACTTAGAACCCACTTATAACTGGCCTATCTAAAAGGGCCCACTGTGTAGGGGGGGGGGGGGTGTTGTCGGAGTTGAGGGGTTTAGGGTTCAGGGTTTAGGGTTTAGAAGCTATAGGATTTAGGACCCAAATGGGCTTCATTTGGGGGGGGAGAGAGAATCTGCTCTCGGGGCTTAGAGGACTTCCAGGGCTCTAGGGTTTAGGGTTTAGGGTTTAGGCTTTAGGCTTTAGGGTTTAGGGTTTAGGGTTTAGGGTTTAGGCTTTAGGGTTTAGGGTGGTTTTTGGGCTTTGTGGCTCAGGGTTTCTTGAGCTTTCGGGGGCCTTCTTTGAGTGAAGCCTCTGACAACAACAGTATGTCGAGGTTCAGACTTCCGTCTAAACCCCAGGCCGCCTAGCCCTCAACGCCCTGACCCCCCCTTAACTCTAAAACCTTCAGAAAACCTAAACCCCTTATAAACCCCCAAGCCCTAAACCCCAAGCCCTAAACCCTAAACCCTAAGCCCTAAGCCCTAAGCCCTAACCCTAAACCCTAAACCCTAAACCCTAAACCCTGCCCTGAGTCCAACTGACCCCGGCACCTGCAAGGGCAGGCTGAGGCCCAAGTTCAAGCGCCTCTTCACCAGCTCCTAGTAATGGCCGGGGAGGGTTTAGGGTTTAGGGTTTAGGGTTTAGGGTTTAGGGTTTAGGGTTTAGGGTTTAGGGTTTAGGGTTTAGGGTCCTGTTGCCTGAAGCTTAATGGTTAGTACCCCCTATTTGGTAGGCATAACCCTTGAAACTGTAGGTAAATAGGGTCCTAGGTAGAGCTTCTCGTAGTTTAGAGGGCTTTTAGGGGGTTTAAAGAGGTTTAGAGAGTTGTGTTTCGAGGGGTTTGTAGGGCTGATAGGGTTTAGAGCGGTTTGCAGGGCTTTCAGGCGTTCGAGGGCTTGTCGGGGTTTGCGGGGGTTGTAACAAGGGGATATAGGGTCTGGAGGTTTTTAGGGCCTAGTACTCATGTTTGGGGTCGATGGAGGGCTGTTGGGATGCGCAGAACTTTGTGGGATTGAGGCTCCGGCAGCTTCTCCAGGGCTTCAGTCAACCCTAAACCCTAAACCCTAAAGCCCTAAACCCTTAACCCTAAACCCTAGAACAGGCTGCGGCTTTAAGGGCAGGGCCAGAGTCTTCGTGGGCTTACAGCTAGCTTGCGCGGTAACCGAAGAATATGAAGGGCGCCCGTCCTTTGCACCATGGTGGTTCTCAGGGGATGCTCATGAACCCTTGCTGCTTATGTAGGGTTGAAGGCTTAGGGTTTTTGGTCTTGCTCACAAAGGGTTTCAGGTTTAGGGTTAGGGTTACAAGCCTGCCAAGATGAATTCTCACGTTGCCCTTGAATAGGATCTGTCTGAACTCGCGAGAGCCTGCGGTATTGAATGAAGTGTATGAGGGTTGGATAAACCTAAACCACAAGTCTTAAACCCTGAGCCCTAAACCCTCAACCCTAATTAAACCCTAACCCTAAATCCTAAACCCTAAAACCCTAAACCCTAAACCCTCTTTCTCCTGAAAGGCGAGGTCGTTTGTGTCGTCGCGGAAGTCACTGGCTGGCAGCCGTCCGCTCAGCAGCGGCATACCATCCTACACTTAGGGTTTAGGGTTTAGGGTTTAGGGTCTAGGGTCTAGGGTCTAGGGTTCAGGGTTTAGGGTTTAGGTTTTAGGGTTTAGAGGAACTATCACAATCTACTAATTATTGTGTTTTACTTTGCAAGATGACACAATCTGTTTCGTGTACACCTATTATATATATATATGTGTGTGTGTGTATGTGAGTGCAGAGATTATCCGGTTGTAGAATATCAGGAACTACTACATGCTAGTATGAAGCAACGTGCAACATAAACAGTGACGTGATATTGCATACCTCCTTGAAAACAATGTAGTATTGTATAGTCTTATACCAGGTTATCGAATATTGTGTATCATTGTAAACGTTTAGATGAGATTGGTACAAGCAATATTGGGTTGCTATATGAAAATAGTGACGAAAATACTTTAATGCTGGGGCAGTATCATCTGCTACTGCCTCATACTCTCTGATATTGTCATCTAGTATGTTCTATGATTAATGTTTGTGTCACCTTACTTGAAGGTGTCTACTCTTCCCTACTACTATCCAACGCTATCTAGCATTACCTAAAATTATGCTATATGATCTAAACAAACAGAACCTACATGTCTCTGATTCCCACACACAACCCTGCTAAATCAACGCGAAAGAAGACACATCCACAGGGTCTAAACCCGACCCCTAGCACCTACAGGATAAGTCTTAGCAAGATCAACCTATGTAGTATAACTGGCACACCAGAGACACCCCGCGAGGGACAAATACTCAGGCCGACCCCCCAGACCCAAGGCATCAAACAAACCCAACAAACCAACACTTCTGAACCCAAATCTCGAGGCCCTCAACCCGAATCCCCCCCCCCCCCCTGCCCAAATAGTAACCGCATTCATCTCATAGACGCAAGTAGTGATCATGATCATGGTACATCGTACTGATTGTTGGGACACCAATCGTGACAACCATCTGCCAAACCTTAAACCCTGAACCCTAACCCTAAACCCTATACCCTAACCCTAAACCCTAAACCCTAAACACAAAACACCCAGACGGTAAAATTGGACCTCTTTGCTCCCAACTAAACCAGCCGACACTTCAGGTATGGCAACTTCACGGGCCGAGCCACCGGGATCAGGAAGTACTTGAACTTCTTCATGTGCCTCCAAGTGGCCGAGCAAAGAGAGCTGAGTAGAGTTGCTTGGTAGTACCCCTAAGCCCTAAGTTCTAAGCTCTAAGCCCCAAGCCCCAAGCCCTAAGCCCTAAAAACGAAACCCTAAACCTTAAACCCGAAACCCTAAACCGAAACCCTAAACCCTAAACCCTAAACTCTGAACCGCGGCTGTTGTTGGTCCCTTCGTTAAACCCACGTGGAGACCGAGCGGTACAGTAGGCTGCGGCCCACCATTCGCAGGTGCCAGCGGCACGCCCAGGCAATAACATAGACATAGACATATTGGCAGTTAGGGCTTAAGGTTTAGGGTTTAGGGTTTAGGGTTTAGGGTGCCTCCACTGCTTGCGGATAGGTAGGTTTGGGGCTTGGGGTGTGGACACTGAAACCCTAAACCCTAAACCCTCCACGGCGGTGCATCCAGCTTCTCCGTGGGGGCTTAGGGCTTGGGAGGTAGGGCGGTTTGGGGTTTAGGGTTTAGGGTTTAGGGTTTAGGGGTTAGGGCATAGTTTTTCATTCTCGTGGCTGCTGATTGGCTTGTAAGCACCTCTGAAGAGGGCAAAACACTCGAATCCCCTGAGCTTCTTCACAATGCACCCTAACCCCTAACCCTAAACCCTAAACCCCTAGCCCTAAACCCTAAACCCTGAACCCTAAACCCGAAACCCTAAACCCCTAGCCCTAAACCCTAAACCCTAGACCCTGAACCCTAAACCCTCCGAGCCGTCAGCCCTACGCAAGACTCCCTACATCGAAGAGCGCGAGGCCCAAACCCTGAATAGAGGAGGGGAGGGAGGTTGTCGCAAACAAGGGCCGCCTGTTGCGGAGTTCTTTCCACACGGGATTTGATCTCTAAACCCTAACCCCTAAACCCTAACCCCTAAACCCTGACCCCTAATCCCTAAACCCCAAACCCCAACCAACTGAGCCCTACGCCCAAAACTTTGAACGCTCGCAGCTCTCTTCCAGCTGCGGCCACGCGGCCCACTCAAGCGGCTCCAGATGAAGGCCGACCAAGGAGCTCGCGAGACCCGGTCCCAAACCTACCGATTTTTTCCGGGATTCAACGTTAAGGTTTGAAGGTTTGGAGTTTTAAAGGTTTGGAGGTTGAGCAGGTTTAAAGGCTTAAGTAGGGTTTTGGGGTTTCGGTGGTTTGAGTCTACGGTTCACAAAGAAGCAGGGCTTATAGGGCTTTAGGGATATGGGGTCTAGGGTTAAGGGGTAGAAGGCTTTGCCTTGCAAAGTTGGTTTAGGGTTTAGGGTTTAGGGTTTAGGGTTTAGGGTTTAGGGTTTAGGGTTTAGGGTTTAGGGCTTAAGCGGTTCAGGGGATTCGCCGTTATAGGGCTTGGGCCTTCCAAGGCTTCCGGCTGCGCCAGACTTGTTACATTATGTACACACCTTCTGCGCTTTCAATTACTTTCTTTAAATGATGCCCTTCTAGTATTGTTTGATGACTAGGGATCCTTCTACTATGGTGTTCTTGCGATGCCCTAAACCCTGAACCTTAAAACCCTAAACCCCAAACCCTAAACCGTTTGGTGGCGCGGGCCCATGGCCATGGTTTTCCCAAACTCTAAACCCTCAACCCTCAGAACCCTACACCCTCAACCCTGAACCCTCAACCCTGAACCCTCAACCCTGAACCCTAAACCCTGAACCCTAAACTCTCAACCCTACACCCTCAAACCTAAACCCTGAAGCCTCCTCGCGCAGGTGCGCATGCTCAACCTCGCGCTGGCGCTCCCCCGAACCCAAGAAAGCCCTAGAACCGTCAGACCCCGAATGCTCTGGGCTGAGGCTTGACACTCTGGAATAGGTTTGGGGTTTGGGGTTTGGGGTTTGGGGTTTGGGGTTTGGGGTTTGGGGTTTAGGGTTTAGGGTTTAGGGTTTAGGGTTTAGGGTTTAGGGTTTAGGGTTTAGGGTTTAGGGTTTAGGGCAGAGCTTTGAAGCCAGGCGACGGGGAGGTCCATGAGAGCCCAGAGAGCGTCGATGACGGCCGGGAGCCTTTGCTGATGTTCATGAGCCCTAAACCCTAAACCCTAAACCCTAAACCCTAAAGGGGGCGAACCCTGAGCAGCTCTCAGGCTCGCACTGCCAGTTGTAGTGGCGCCGCGCACGCCTCGGGAAGTGGAGCACTTGCCACCTCGGCTGTGGGGTGAAGAGAGAATCTTGCTTCGTCCGCTAAATTAACTTCTCAAGTACATTCGTAGACTTGTAGGCTCTTTTCCTTTTTGAAGAGGGGGGGGAGAGACAGGGCGGTTACATGTGGGTGCTTGTCGCAGGTTTCGGCGGTCGGGATTGACAGATCAGGAGGGAAGGCCGGAAGAGAAGACCCTGGATTGGGGGATCCTCAAGCTGCTCGCCCCCCCCCCCCCACTCATGCAATCCTACGAATCCTACGAGGCCTGAAAACGAAACAGCATGACCTTCTTGAAGCCCACAGAGGAATGAGCACCACAACCCTAAACCCTAGACCCTAAACCCTCAACCCTCAACCCTAAACCCTAAACCCCAAACCCTAAACCCTAAACCCAGCCGCTGCTCGTCCCACTCCAGCTTGCTGAAGGCCAGGATGCGACTGGTGATGAAGGCCACCTCGCTTTACACGGGTTAGGGTTTAGGGTTTAGGGTTTAGGGTTTAGGGTTTAGGGTTTAGGGTTTAGAGTTTAGGGTTTAGGGTATAGGGTTTAGGGTTTAGGGTTTAGGGTTAAGGGTTTAGGGTTTAGGGTTTAGGGTTTAGGGTCTAGGGTTTAGGGTTTAGGGTTTAGGGTTTAGGGTTACTTTACGTGGGGTGATGCGGAAAGCATGAGGGTCCTGTTGTCTTGGCTACACTCAGAAGGGTAGCTAACAATTAAATTTTTTAGCTGCCTTACTAAGAAACCCAATAAACCCAAAAAGGCTAAGGATCTAAGGTTACAGTAAAGTACCACAAAGTTACCTTCTGGTTGATTTTGAAGCTTAATGTCCAGCATGTGCCTGAGAAAACAGGGTCCCAACTCTAATTTCCATTTGCTCCCTGTAAACAACGCGTGTTAGGTGATGCACTGTTCTGAGTTTCTTGCCGGGAGAAGGGAGCCTCCGGATTCAAGCATTTAACAGGGGGTTTAGGGTTTAGGGTTTAGGGTTTAGGGTTTAGGGTTTAGGGTTTAGGGTTTAGGGTTTAGGGCTTGATTGAAGTTTTTGGGGGACCCTAAACCCCAAAAGACCCAACCCTGAGGCCCCCGAAAGCCTCAGCAAAACTCCCGAAAACCCTTGAAAACTCTTCAAAAAAACCGAAGTGCTCCTCAACCTCTCACCCTAAACCCTAAACCCTAAATCCGAAACCCTAAAAGAACCTCGGCTGGCGGCCTTACAGTCCGTGGATCCATCCCGCACCCGCGAGATCTCGTAGAAGGCCTCTTCTGGCTTTGTGCTTGCGGCTGCGTTCTGGCTCTTCGGGGTCTTTTAGGTGCGGCTTCGGGTTTAGGGTTTAGGGTTTAGGGTTTAGGGTTTAGGGTTTAGGGTTTAGGGTTTAGGGTTGAGGGTTGAGGGTTTAGGGTTTAGGGTTTAGGGTTAAGGGTTCAGGGTTTAGGGTTTAGGGTTTAGTGGAAGTTTGGGGGTTCGGTAGAGGTTCTTAGGGATCCCTCGGGTTTCGCTTGAGGTTCTTCGGGATTCTTGGGGTTCCGGCTAGAGCCCGCAATGCACCCTAAGCCCACAAGCCTCATGAAGCGCCTCTCCCCGTCAGCGCCACCCTCGCACCCCTAAACCCTAAACCTTAAACCCTAAACCCTAATTAAACCCTAAACCCTAAACCCCAAACCCTAAACCCTAAACCCCTAAACCCTAAACAGCCAAGTGTCATCGCTCTTCCAGAAGTCACGGTACGAGGTGGTTGCCTTCAAAAGGCAGGCACGTCCATAGCCGGGCCAGGGTGGGCCTTGTGGGGGTTTGTAAGGCCAGTAGGCACTTTTATGGTTTGTTTCGGGTTGATAGGCCCTGAACCCTGAACCCTGAACCCTGAACCCTGAACCCTGAACCCTGAACCCTGAACCCTGAACCCTGAACCCTACACCCTAAACCCTAAACCCTAAACCCTAAACCCTAAACCCTAAACCCTAACCCTAAACCCTAGACCCTAAACCCTAAATAGGGTTCATAGGGTAGGGCAGTCGTAACTTCAACACGGGTCGGTCTGCTGCAACGACTGCCGCTACAGTAGCTGGACACTTTAGGGTTACGGTTGGGGTTTAGGGTTTAGGGTTTAGGGTTTAGGGTTTAGGGTTTAGGGTTTAGGGTTTAGGGTTTAGGGTTTAGGGTTTAGGGTTTAGGGTTTAGGGTTTAGGGTTTAGGGTTTAGGGTTTAGGGGTGAGGGTTTAGGGGTTAGGGGTTAGGGTTTAGGGTTTAGGGTTTAGGGTTTAGGGTTTAGGGTTTAGGGTTTAGGGTTTAGGGTTTAGGGTTTAAATTTAGGGTTTAGGGTTTAGGGTTCAGGGTTCAGGGTTTAGGGTTTAGGGGTTGGAGCCTTGTTCTTCGCGCCTCTTCGGTCGATGTCGCGGCTGCAGTTGAACCCCCCAAAACAAACAGACACAAAGGGCTGAAGAGCTTGGGGCTTAGGAGACACACATCCATACTCTGAGCCCCCCTAAAGCCCTGAAGCCCCAAACCCAACCCTGAATCCCTAAACCCCAAACCCTTTAAGCCCCAAACCCGAAACCCCAAACCCTAAGCCCCAAAGCCCCAAAGCCTAAACCTGAACCCTACCTTTCTGCGGGCCTGCGGGTCAAGGTAGCCCCAGACTCTGGAGACCACCTCTTCAGTACCTCGGGCAGTTGGGAGGAGGGGGAGGGTTTATAGAAATTATGTAGGGTTGTCGTAGGGTTGTCCTTTTTTTTGCAGGATTTGGGGGGGTGGGGGTTTGCTTCATTGGGGGCGGGAGGGGGGGGTTTTGCTTCTTTGGGGGTTGGGCGCAGGGGGCACAGGGGGCGGGGGGGTGGGCGGGGGCCCGAAAGGGCAGGAAAGTTGGGGCCTTGTGGAGCCTTCAAGGCATGTCTCTGTAAAGCTGCTAGATTCTTCGGAGGATTATTGTAGCCCATCGATGTTGCAAGTTCTGAGTGAATCACATGTACTGCTTGGTACCTTAGGGTTTAGGGTTTAGGGTTTAGGGTTTATAAGGGTTCAGGGTTTGGGGGTTAGGGGTTTAGGGTTTACAGCTCCGGGGCTTCCAGGGTCGAAGGTTTCCTGACGCAGCTTTTGACTACAGGGATGGGCGTTTCAGGGCAACGGGTTTAGGGTTTGCGGGATTGAGGGTTGGTTGAAGGCGGAAAGAGTTTAGTCATTTAGGTTTTCAGGTTTTCATAAACCCTAAACCCTAAACCCTAAACCCTAAACCCTAACCGTGCAGGCGGGGTGCATGTAGGCGGCGGCCCGCAACAGGTTTCGAAGGTGTAAGGGCCGCCCCAGCACTTGGTGAAACCTCTGCCAGGCAGGGTTAGGGTTTAGGCTTTAGGCTTTAGGGTTGAGGGTGTCGGGTTTCGGGTTTGGGGTTTAGGCTTTAGGGCTTAGGCTTTAGGGTTGAGGGTGTCGGGTTTCGGGTTTGGGGTAGGGGGTACATACGGGATTTGAGGCTACAGGGTTGAGGACTTTAGGATTTTAGGACTTGTAAGGCTGAGTTCTAGGGTTTACATCAAAGTTTACACCCTTAGTGACGTGCAGTTCCCTTGCTTCTGGTGCTAGACGGATTTCTTGCTCTTTTCATCAGCCTGACCCCACACGCACCCTAATTGGCAGCACTGGGAAGCTGCAAACGCCGACTCTGACCAACTACCAGTAGTTCTGAATTGCAAACTCGCCCTAAACCCTCAACATTCCCTAAACCCTAAACCCTAAACCCTAAACCCCAAACCCCAAACCCTAAACCCTAAACCGGCCTTGGCTGCCGAACTGCCGGGCGTCGCAGCACAAGTGCTCCGGGTAGTCCTGCCATGCGGGTTCAGGGTATGGCCCGCATAGGCGAACAGGGAAGTAACATGGAGGTTTAGGGTTTAGGGTTTAGGGTTTAGGGTTTAGGGTTTAGGGTTTAGGGTTTAGGGTTTAGGGTTTAGGGTTTAGGGTTTAGGGTTTAGGGTTTAGGGGAGGTTCCTATAGCAAGGATGATACTATATCTGGGTGTTTTAGGGGTACCCCTATTTCGGGAAATGCCCACATGGGGTATGGTGTCGCGCACCTAGAATGGGCGGGCCTTTCTGGAAAGATTTTCTAAGTAGGTAATTGACGCGAGTTTAGGCCTAAACCCTCAACGGAATAGGTTACGGTAGTTTTTTCGACACGGTCTGGGGTGGGTGGGAAACCCTAAACCCTAAACCCTAAACCCTAAACCCTAAACCCTAAACCCTAAACCCTAAACCCTAAACCCTGTGCAGATGGCCCTCCACAGTCGGCGCATGCCAGCTCCCTGCGCATAAACCCTAAACCCTAAACAAAACCACCAGCTGGCAGATACGACACAAACTCTCTCAAGGGGATCCAGGGGATCCTCAACCCAGGGTGCCATGAAACACCCTGAACCCGAGGTTTAGGGTTTAGGGTTTAGGGTTTAGGGTTTAGGGTTTAGGGTTTAGGGTTTAGGGTTTACGGTCCCCGTAGAAGCAGTCGTACTTCTGGCCCTGTGCGAGTTGGAGGGCCAGAAGCACCTGACAGGGTCGCAGCTTCGTGGAGGGTGAAAACAGAAGAGGCAAACCCTAAACCCTACACCCCGACAGCAAAAACACACTTCTCCCAAAAGGGGGTGCCCCAAGATCCCTAAACCCTAAACCCTAAACCCTAAACCCTAAACCCTAAACCCCAAACTCTCATGTATCATGATAGTAAGTGTTGCCGGGGGGGTGGGGGGGGGGGGGGCGGAACCGTCAAGCCTAAACCGTATGAAGTCTGGGTGCTTAAGGTTTGCTGTCTTTGGGGGTCGTTTAGGGTTGAGGGCTTGGGGCTTACTTAGGGTTTAGGGTTTAGGGTTTAGGGTTTAGGGTTTAGGGTTTAGGGTTTAGGGTTTAGGGTTTAGGGTTTAGGGTTTAGGGTTTAGGGTTTAGGGTTTAGGGTTTAGGATTCAGGCATGGGTTCTCCAGAACGACAGCGCTCCAGCACTGCTTGCAACTTCATGAAGAGCGTGATCTCTACCTAGTGAGCACCCTCTGAAAGGCTCCTCTTAAGCCCCCTAAACCCCAAACCCTAAACCCTAAACCCTAATATATATATATATATATATATATATATATATAGAATGTCCCAAGGGTTAGAATGTCCCCAGGGCCTACCGAGATACTCCCCCTGAAGCCCTTAGGAAAATACTTTTTTGTTAGATTCTTGAGGTTTCACACAAACTAAACACCCTAAACCCTAAACCTAAACCCGAAACACGACAGATCTCGTAAAAAGTACGAGCCCCGTCCCACAACTCGTCCACCAGGGTTCAGGGTTTCGGGGTCTACGTACCTTCTGTCCCCCTCCTGCATGTCGGAAGTAAGGAAAGATTCATTTGCGACAAAGACCCAACATTGAAACGACTCTGCACGTAGACGCGTTGCTCTCTCAGCAACAACGCCCTAAACCCTAAACCCTAAACCCTAAACCCTAAACCCTAAACCCTAAACCCTAAACCCTAAACCCTAAACCCTAAACCCTAAACCCTAAACCCGAAACGCCAGCAGCACAGGGAACCTGCGCCAAGCATGGCAGCTGCATCGGCGGGCACTGACCTCCGAGTGGGGTGGGGTGGCGGCTTCATTGGGCTGATATTCTGTAAGCCCGAAGCATAAGCCCTAATCCCTTTAACCCCTAAACCCTAAACCCTACACCCGAAACCCTAGGGTTTAGGGTTTAGGGTTTAGGGTTTAGGGTTTAAGGTTTATGCCTGAACCCAGGACCCTAAAAGCCTATCTACAAGCAATAAGCAAAGAACATCTGTAGATCAACTAGAACGAGCTCTCTGGGTTCAGGGTGCAAATCGGGTGCTTCATATGATAATGTTTTAGTATAGGGTGTTCGGATTCAGGGTTCAAGGCTGAGGGTCTAGGGTCGAGTACATGGGCCTGGACAGCCGCAAATGGGTGGGGTGCGCTGTTCACCTCTCATCTAAAGTCATGCTTGTTGGGGTTAGGGTTTAAGGTTTAGGGTTTAGGGTTTAGGGTTTAGGGTTTAGGGTTTAGGGTTTAGGGTTTAGGGTTTAGGGTTTAGGGTTTAGGGTTTAGGGTACAGCTAGAACCCGGCAGGGACGTTGCTTCAGTTGACTCTAGGCGTGGCCCGGTGCATGTTTAGGCTACGGGATGTCGTTGAGGCTGAAGCAGCCTGACTGCAAGAGGCAGCTATCGGAAATGGCTACGTTTTGCTGAGTACAAGTCACAGAGGAAAGAATACCGGGTAACAACCCTAAACCCTAAACCCTAAACCCTAAACCCTAAACCCTAAACCCTAAACCCTAAACAAACCCTAAACCCTAAACCCTGGAGTTCCAGTCAGTCACTGGAACATCCCGTGTTCTTAGCCCACCGTGGTCATTGACGGTAAGCTCCTCATGCTCGGTCCCTGGAAGCATCGGGTGCTCAGCAAAACACTGCCTCGACTCTCTGGCCCGAAGCCCCTCCAAAAAAAGAGGGTTTAGGGTTTATTTAGGGTTTAGGGTTTAGGGTTTAGGGTTTAGGGTTTAGGGTTTAGGGTTTAGGGTTTAGGGTTTAGGGTTTAGGGTTTAGGGTACCAGTACCTCCCAAACCCTCCAACCCTCCAACCCTCCAACCCTCCGACCCTCCGACCCTCCAACCCTGAACCCTAGTCGGCGCCTCCTGATTTCGCCACTGTTGCCCTGCTGCGTCTTTGGCAGGGGTCGTAGGCGAGCGCCCCATGGCTCCCATGGACAAATGCAAGGGTTTGGGGCTTAGGGTTTAGGGTTTCGGGTTTAAGGCTTAGGGTTTAGGGTAGAAATGTAAGGTTTAGGGTTTAAGGAATATGGTTTAGGGTTTAGAGGTATGGGTTTCTGGGCGTGAGGGCTCTAAGGCTTTGAGGGTCTTACGGTTTTTCGACTGGGGGGATTCGGGCTTTTAGGCTTTAGGCTTTAGAATTTAGGGTGCAGGGTGACTGAGAAGCTCCCTCCTCGTTTCTCAGTGGGATGAAGCTGAGCCTGTGACAAGCGCTGCAACTCCAGTTCTGCTAGCTTGCTTTGCGAAAGAAGGGCCCTAAACCCCAGACCCTCACCCTAAAACCCTCAAACCCTAAAATGGCAAAACCCTAAAACCGTAACACCCTGAAATCCTAAAACCCTAAACCCTAAAATACCCTAACACCCCAAAACCCACAACCCCCAAAACCATAAACCGCTTTCAGCGCGACGAGCCTCGAAATGTTGAGGCTGAGGAGAGGGCACAAGAAGGAAAGAGCTAAGCTAACCCGATGGGGCTGACAGGGGTTTAGAGGTTTAGGACGTCGAACTTCAGGAACCTAGCAATGGGGTGCCCTTTTTGAGGTTGAGTCAGCAGGGATCCTACGTACCTTCAATAACGGACAAAAGACACTTCCTGGACGTCCTAGAATCCTCTGGAATCTCCTCGAAGGGGACTTTGCGTACGCACATGCTCTGAAAGAAGGTGAAAGTGTACTTCCAAGCTCAGCAAAGAAAGTGGGCAAAAGGAAGCATGCCCTTCCCCCATCTCTGTTTTGCTCACGAGACGCGGTGCCTGGCGGCAATAGCCTGGGACCACAACTGGTGCGAGGTGTTCGTCTCAGAATGAGTACCGAGGCTGTGTGTGTAGATTAAAGCTCTTTGTCGATGATGGTTATAAGAAGAACAGAAGTAATCATGGTTATAAGAATAACAGAAGTACTCCCCGATATTTGGGGCCTATTGTATGTCTTTTTGACAGCCATTGGCATCTTCCGGTAAGCTGCCTTGCCGGCAGTGAAACGTCGTGTCTCCTGCCTGACCGCCGGCGGAGCCCAACCCTAAAACCTACAAACCCTACAAGCCCGAAAGAAACCCCTAAACAACCCTAAACAACCCTGAAATATATAACCCGAAAGAAACCCTAAACAACACTTTAAACAAAAACTAAACAACCCTGAAATAACCCGAAAGAAACCCTAAACAATTCAAAAAATAACCCTAAAACACCCCTAAGCCTCACTTGAAGACTCCGCCGGTCGAGTTGAGCTGTGTAGAGTGGTCGGTATTGCCATGGACGGTGTACTGGTCGTAGGTCTTGTCCTGGAGCCCTAAACCCTAAACCCTAATCCCTAAACCCTAAACCCTTACGGGGTAAGTTTCGAGGGGCTGCTGAAAGGTTTAGGCTTGAGGAGATTGAGTTTAGGGTTTTGCGGTTTAGGATTTGGGGTTTAGGGTTTGGGTTTAGGGCCGAAGTTTGGGGTTTAGGGTTTCCCCTAAACCCTATCCACCCTAGAAACCCAAAACACTGATGCTTGAAGGGACGTCAAAAGCTTGCGGGAGAGTCGGTAACTGACTGTCCCCGGACTGCTTGGGTTTTGGGTTTGGGGTTTGGGGTTTGTTTGGGTTTTGGGGTTTGTTTGGGTTTTGAGGTTTGTTCGGGTTTTGGCGTTTGTTTGGGGTTTGGGGTTTGGGGAAGGGTTTGGGGTTTGGGGCTTGGGGCTTGGGGCTTGGGGCTTGGGGCTTGGGGCTTGGGGCTTGGGGTTTGGGTCTAATTAGGGTTTAGGGTTTAGGGTTTGGGGTCAGGATTTTATATCATTAATAGGGGCAAAGGGGAGAACGTGACCACCCAGAAGTTAACGTGGGATTTTCTGGAGAGCGAAGCGTGCGGGCTAATTTTAATACTAAATTGGTAATGAAAGCACGCAACTTAGTCGTAAAATTAACCCGCCCAAAAGACCCCCAAATTCAGGTATTGTAAGAAGGTTTTCGTGCACTCACTTGTTCACTTACAAAATCCCCATAAATATATACTAAATTTAGGTCTTTTGCCCACAGTTGTTGATGGTTGACTTCACGCTTACCTGTCATTCACCTCTTTTTTTAGTGTTTTTCATGCCCCAATAGTAAATGTAAATATCTCGTTGTTGCTAAAACGTCATCAAATTTCATTCGTTCTTGTATATTCATTTATCTGAATATTAGTAACACACATGACACAACCTGCCTTTTTGCATTTTCAAAGTCAAAGTACTAGAACACCCAAGTATAGAAACTTAACATGACAACATTATTCGTGTTGTATGATTTAGTTCTGTTTGAAATATGAACTTTCAGAATTAAGTAACACTACATACATATATATATACAGTGCGTTCAGGGAAAATCTAACATCTCCAACGGAAGAAAAGCAACGCTAAATATCATCTGTATGCTTTCCGACAAGCTTTCTGATTCCTATAAATTTGAATTTGTGAAATATGTGTACTTGTTTAATTTAAAATACATCAATATACCCCTTCATAAACATATTCAGACAATTAATTAACCCATCTGTTTGTCTAGACTATGATTTAAAATCCGTTCGAGCTGTTGCATGTAAGTACTCACCAGACATTCTAGAATACTGTAAGTCATTGTCTAATTGAATCTTTTGAACTTCATTATGAATTCTTCCTTTCACAATAGCTAGTTGAATTATCCAACTGATTTTAAAATTCATCAGGCATTCACATTAATTCAAAACCAGTGGAATTTGTATAACATCCTTAAAATCTTGATGAATACCCTCTGCAAATTCTTCATGATATTGACATGAAATCTTGTCTTTACCGTGACATTTACCTTTACCTCAATTAGTATGTGACGTTACAAAATCACTAAGATTCATCTTCTCTTCTGGAAGATATTGTCCCATACTTTAACTTGAAATTCTGTTATGTGCTTTTCTTCTTATGTAAACTTAGAATGATAGATACTATGTGGGTTGCACACCGATCCAACAATATTATGAACTGATAACTTCTTTTGACGCTAACTTTGAAGTACATGCAGATGCATATCACGGGTTTAGGGTTTAGGGTTAGGGTTTAGGGTTTAGGGTTTAGGGTTTAGGGTTTAGGGTTTAGGGTTTAGGGTTTAGGGTTTAGGGTTTAGGGTTTAGGGTTTAGGGTTTAGGGTTTAGGGTTCAGGGTTCCACACCGAGACGCTGCAGTGAACCCAAGGTCCGCACCAGAAGTGCTGGAAAACACCGGCAAAACCTCATACACAAACCCTAAACCCTAAACCCTAAACCCTAAACCCTAAACCCTAAACCCTAGACCCCAAAACCCCAAACCTCAAACCCCAAACACCCTAAACCCGAAACGCTAAACCCCAACACCCAAACTCTAAAACCTGAAGCGCAAAACCCTAGAACCCCAAAACCCAAAACCCAAAATCTAAAACCCTAAGCCCTAAACCCTAAACCCCAAAAAACCCAAAACCTCAAACCCTAAACCCAAACATGATGTGCCAAATGAGCTGATTACAAGCATCAGCTGTTCACTGATATGAATCGCATTGACTCCCAGTCCACGTCAACCCTAAACCCTAAACCCGAAACCCTAAACTACCCCTAACCCCTAACCCTAAACCCTACAACCCAAAGCCCAAAATCCCAAACCCCAAAACCCTAAAACCCCCAAACCCAAAAACCCCAAACCCTAAACCCCAAAACTCCAAACCCTAAACCCCAAACCCCAAACCCAAAACCCCAAACCCTAAACCCGACACCCTAAACCCTAAACCACAAGCCCCCTACAAGCTGCTTCCAGGGCAGTCCCTCGAGTACATCTCCCATCGGGAAGCCGGGAAGACGTGCCTGCAACGGTCCGAGGGGTTTAGGGCTTAGGGCTTAGGGTTTAGGGTTTAGGGTTTGAGGGTTCAGGGTTCTGGGTTCAGGGCTCTGGGTTCAGGGCTCTGGGTTCTGTGTTTAGGGTTGGGTTGAGGAGGGTTTTGGGTTTAGTGGTTTGGGCTCAAAGGTTCCGGGTCGGTAGGGGCCCCCATATTGCTACAAAGGCGTGGCGGCCTTGCACTGCGCGAGGGCTTGGGCTTAGGGATTCGTGAGGTTCCCGAACATCTCAAAAACCTGAAGCGACCTAACCGTCTTTGCTTGAAATTATAGGGGATCCGAAGTATGGGCCACCATACGGCCCCAAGGTTCCAACCTTAGAAACCAAAATAGGCATCAGCCTGGGGAACATTCAGCCGTTGAACCGGCAAGTTAGGGTTTAGGGTTTAGGGTTTAGGGTTTAGGGTTTAGGGTTTAGGGTTTAGGGTTTAGGGTTTAGGGTTTAGGGTTTAGGGTTTAGGGTTTAGGGTCCCGAACGGATACGTCGGCCATGTGACCATAGACTATTGACCCGGTTTAGGGTTTAGGGCTGAGGCCATGAGACCTACCAGCTCTGCCCATAGGAAGGAGAGGAGCACCACTAGACCACTAAATCCTTAAACAGATTTAAACAAAAAAAACTATCAACTGTACTCAACATGTGGAGAACATGTTCCCCCATATTCCCTTGGGTGCTAAATATGAATACACGTTACTACTGTTTGCTTAACCACCCCAACAAAGCAAAATAAACAATCCCCTTATCACCCTTTTAGGGAAGAATAGATTTCCTTTTTGGGGGGTTCCGAAGCAAACAGTAAATAGAAAACAAACGATCCCTAACCCCTAAACCCTAAACCCTAAACCCTAAACCCTAAACCCTAAACCCTAAACCCTAAGGTGTTTTGGTAGGGGTACTGCTGGGCCACCGGGAAAAGATGCTGCTGGGCGCACTTGTTCCGCTCGTACCACTTGCGGTCCACGATCTTCCCGGCATGGCTCTCGTCCTGTTTAGGGTTTAGGGTTTAGGGTTGAGGGTTGAGGGTTGAGGGTTTAGGGTCCAACTCTTCTGAGGTGTCAAGCTCGGAAGCCTCCTGATACCCTAACCCCTAAACGACCCTATACATAAACTTTGAAACCTCCAGTGTAAGCTCTGACACTCATAACACTTTTTTCCCCATAAGCCCTTAACTGCATCCCAAACCCACGTTTCCAGCTGGGCCCTTAAAACCCCCTTGAATGAGATTCCTAGCCATGATCCTCTTAAAACCCTAAACCCCTAAACCCCTGAACCCTAAACCCTAACCCCTAAACCCCTAAACCCCTAAACCCCTAAACCCCTAAACCCCTAAAGCCTAAACCCTAAACCCTAAAGAGCATACCTTGGCAGTGACTTGGAGTTTGCGAGTTTACGGGCTTGGGGTTTCCTTGAGCCCCTTAAAACCCACTGCGTCCGCCTTGAGGGGTCCTTTGGGATCAGGGCTTCAAGGCTTTAAAGGGTTTAGGGTTTAGGGTTTAGGGTTTAGGGTTTAGGGTTTAGGGTTTAGGGTTTAGGGTTTAGGGTTTAGGGTTTAGGGTTTAGGGTAAGGCTTTAACGGGTTAAAGGGTTAAAAGGGCAATAAGGCACTGCAGGTGTCAGAAGTGCATGGCAGTTGACCTCGCATGTGCACTTAAGAGCCCTACTGTGGAGAAAGACCTGTATCTGCTCTCTAGGATGGTTTAGGGTTTAGGGTTTAGGGTTTAGGGTTAGGATCCGCGAACTTAAGAGCACTACTTCGGAGTAAAACAAAAACCTACGTTTTACGAGCTGCGATGGGAAGCCAGAACCAAAAAATGAATTAATCCAAATCCCAGAGAGATACCTCACAAAGCCGCGGGTGTCCCCTGAACCAAATTGCCCCCAACAGGGTTTGGGGCTTAGGGCGTTTAGGGTTTAAGGTTTTGTGGTGTTTAGGGTTTAGGGTGTCAGGGGTTTAGAGTTTAGGGTTAGCGCCACCACGCCCGCCAGCCTTCTCTATTCGAGAGTCGTTGGCCATTCGAATGTCCTGTGCTCCCCACCAACTAAACCCTAAACCCTAAACCCTAATCCCTAAACCTTAACCCCTATACCCTAAACCCTCGAATCCGGGCTTCGGGAACTTAAGATCCAGGTGGATGGATTCGGGCCCCAGGAGCTTGCAAGCCAATCCCCCACACGCTAGTTTAAGAGATGCTTCCAACACCCCTATATGGGGGTTAAACCCTAATCCTAAACCCTAAACCCTAAACCCTAAACCCTAAGCCCTAAGCCCTCAGCCCTAAACCCTACACCCTAAACCCTCAACTAATAGGAGTACCCTTTGTGGGCTTCCGTTTAGGGGGAGTCTCTTCTATTCTATTTGGGGCATAGACGGGGTACCCCTATACAGGGAAATACCCCAATCTAGACCCCCAAACAGTAGGATCCCCTTTTTAAACAGGACCCTAAAAAGGCACCCCCTAATCTCGTAAACCCCCATATGCATCCCTCAACCCCAAACCCCAAATCCCTAAACCCTAAAACCTAAATCCCAAAACCCCAAATCCCTAAATCCCAAACACCCTAAACCCCAAATCCCTAACCCTAAATCCCTAAACCCCTGTTCCCTCAACCCCCAACACCGAAGCCTAAACCCTAAACCCTACACCCTACACCCTAAACCCTAAACCCTAAACCCTAAACCCTAAACCCTAAACCCTAAACCCTAAACCGCAGCTCTGTATGATCCTCGTGGACGTCGAAGTGGAAGAGAGGCCCCGACTTGCCACGCGCCTTCTCCTTCGCGAAGGGCCGTCAAGTTCAAGCTTCGGGGGGTGGGTTTGGGGTTTAGGGTTTAGGGTTTAGGGTTTAGGGTTTAGGGTTTAGGGTTTAGGGTGTAGGGTTTAGGGTTTAGGGTTTAGGGTTTAGGGTTTAGGGTTTAGGGTTTAGGGTTTAGGCTTTCGGGTTTATGGCATTTAGGATTTCTTGCGGTTGTTTGGGTTCAGGATTTCGTGTGTAGGGCACGATGCAAGCCCTTTAGGGCAAACTTGGGGATTGGGGAACCAAAGGTTCCTAAACCCTACTAACCTTATAAGCCGTGCACCTTAGCTACCCTAAACCCTAAACCCTAAACCCTAAACCCTAAACCCTAAACCCTAAACAATTGGGGCATCGAATTACGGAGCTGGCGCAGCGCCATCGGCTGAAGCCTGGCAGGACCCGTCAAACTCTCGTGGCCACTTTGTCCTGATGTGTGGAGCCTTGGGGTGCTCCCCCTGAAGCTAACAGTGTTTGGGGTTTAGGGGTTTAGGGGTTTAGGGGTTTAGGGGTTAGGGTTTAGGGTTTAGGGTTTAGGGTTTAGGGTTTAGGGTTTAGGGTCCTGAATAGGGATTATAGTACCCCCGACTAGAATCCCTACTAGGGGCTGCTAGTATAAGGGGAGCATCCCACCTGCAGCCTCTCAAGATCTCGCGGCTTCGGAAGCCCCGAAGGCAACCAAACGCAACCCTAAATCCTAAACCCTAAACCCCAAACCCTAAACCCTAAACCCTAAACCCCAAACCCTAAACCCCAAACCCTAAAGAACCCTTCAGATTGACTTCGGGACTTTGCTGTTGTATGCTCTGATGGGGATTTGGGGATCCAGGTCAAGGGCCCCCGGTGTTGTGCTTTCAGTTTAGGTTTTAGGGCTTAAAGTTTAAACATGTTCTGTCTTGCAGTGGCCTTGATCAGCTCGTAGAAAGTGACATTGTGCGGGATGATCAGGTCTTCCTTGACGTACCTCTCTTCGGGTGTGGGGTTTACGGTTTAGGGATTAGGGTTCCAAAATCTAGGGGTGGCTACATGTTCCCCCGGCACGGGTCCTCAAAAAAGGCGACCCCCGTGCAGACCCCTCATACTACCCCACCATACTTCCGAACCCTGTAAGGGAGGTAAGGGACCCTATCCAGGGCCCATGTAACCCTAAACCCTGAACCCTGAACCCTGAACCCTAAACCCTAAACCCTAAACCTAAACCCTAAACCCTTAGATACCTCAGTGCTTTTGGAGCCTATGGAGGTTTAGGGGCCTCTTGGGGTTCCATCCCCCAGATTTCAGCGGGTTTAGGGTTTTAGGGTGTAGGGTTTTGGGGTTTTGGGGTTTTGGGGTTTCAGGGTTTAAGGGTTTTGGGGTTTTGGGGTTTTGGGGTTTTGGGGTTTTGGGGTTTTGGGGTTTTGGGGTTTTGGGGTTTTGGGGTTTTGGGGTACCAAGACAACATATCGATGAGAACCCAAAGCACTTTGGGAACAGACCTAGAGACGGCGTGTCCCGAGACTCCAGACCCCAGAAACCCAAATTTCTATAACTCACTAGTTCTTACAAGGGTATTGGGGAATTGTGTAGCTCCTGTCCTTTCTAGATGACCCTTTGAGGCGTTATAAAGGGACTCAAATTCCTTTAAATTCCCAACTAAAGATCAGAATCAGTAAGATAAGGCCTAAACCCGTACCGACCCTGAGCCCGGCGGACGGCGCAGCAACAACTGGCGCCGAAACAGTAGAGGAGTTTCTCAACATACCCGGCGCCACGAACATCTCCAGGGCTCGCTCCCCCAACAGTAGAGGGAGAGCTCTGCGAGCCAGCACGGGGAAGGGCCAGTCTGCTGCCAGCGCTTTGCAAAAAAAAAAAGATCAGATGCTCCCCCTTTTCTCGCACACCTCATTGGCTGCTCCATTTTCGCATGCTCCATTGGGCTAGTCGTCTTCACAGTGTAGGTTCGTGGTGTGGATCATCTGGAGCTACTGCACACATTTTCCGCATGTGGCGCTTGCATGGCTCCATCTCCCTATTCCTTTAAACACACCTCCGACGAAAGCTGCTTGTCGATCGCAGCTGCTGCACGAAGCATGCCAGGAGGCTAAGTGCTCATCCCCCGTGCCTTTTTGATGATTCGAGAGGCAGCATCCACATGGACACCACACTGACTGGGCCAGGTCTTTCACAATGTCTTCTCGTAGCTGTTGGACGAACTCCTCCAGAGGGGCCAATAGGGTTTAGGGGTTAGGGGTTAGGGTTTAGGGTTTCGGGTTTAGGGTGGAGACCCTTCGAGCTGGCCAAGGTCTGCAGGTCCTTCAAAATGGATAAGGGCCTTCTTGGCACTGGTGCGCACAACCACTTCCTGTCGACGACCACCCTAGACCCTAAACCCTAAACCCTAAACCCTAAACCCTAAACCCTGAACCCTAAGCCATGAAACCTAAACCCTGAAACCGACACCCTAAATCCTAAACCCTGAAACCTAAACCCTAAATCCTGAATGAAACCTAAGCCCTAAACCCTAAACCCTGAACCCTAAACCCTAAACCCTGAAACCCAACCCCTAAACCCTAATCCCTAAACCCTAAACCCTCATCAACCCTAAACCCTAAACCCTGAAACCTAAACCCTAAACCCTGAAACCTAAACCCTAAACCCTCGGTCGGCGCGCATGAGGGTGTCGGAGCCCACGGTCCGTAACTCCGGGAAGTCGCCTTGAAGGCTTCTGGGGCTTGAAATCTTAGGGTCTCTTGGGGCTTAATGTCTAGGTCTAGGGTTTAGGGTTTAGGGTTTAGGGTTTAGGGTTTAGGGTTTAGGGTTTAGGGTTTAGGGTTTAGGGTTCCACGTTCGAGCTTTCACTCGTCTAGCAGCTTTTCAGGCGACAGGAAGATACCCACCCGCCCCAAAGAATCCCATAGCTCCAAGAAAATATTTCAGTTCACTCCAGCCAGAACCCTTCGACTCCACACCCAGGGCCCCTAAACCCTAAACCCTAAACCCTAAACCCTAAACCCTAAACCCTAAACCCTAAACCCTAAACCCTAAACCCTAAACCCTAAACCCTAAACCCTAAACCCTAAACCCTAAACCGCACGCCTTGAAGCACCCGCCTCAAGGTCTCTCCCTTTACCCCGACTTATTCTCCTTCTTGCCTCTTGACTCGGCCTAGAGCCATGAGCCTAAACCCCTATGCCCTCAACCCCCCTAAACCCTAAACCCTAAACCCTAAACCCTGCGACCCTGAACCCGAAACCCTGGGTCCTGAACCCCCCCCCCCCTTCTCAGGATCCCCTTAAACTTGGACGTGCCGACGAAGCTATGCCGACTGAGAGTTTCAGGCTTGTATATATATATATATGTATATAGGAAAGACTGGGTTTAGGGTTTAGGGTTTAGGGTTTAGGGTTTAGGGTTTAGGGTTTAGGGTTTAGGGTTTAGGGTTGAGGGTTTAGGGTCTAGGGGCTTTAGAGATGTATGGCACACCGTGTTCGTTTTTACACAGGGGCAGAAAGCGTAGGGCGGGGTCTCCAGGGCAGATCGCGGGGTTTAGGGTTTAGGGTTTAGGGTTTAGGGTTTAGGGTTTAGGGTTTAGGGTTTAGGGTTTAGGGTTTAGGGTTTAGGGCCACAAACAAGAAGGAATCTCTGAGGCAAGGGGCTCTTCTCGAGCTCCGCCTTGGCCTTTTGCAGGAACTGGCCTTGGCGGCTCTTTCGGTTCTGGAGTTTGGTTTGGGGTTTGGGGTTTGGGGTTTAGGGTTTAGGGTTTAGGGTTTGGGGCTTAGGGCTTAGGGCTTAGGGTTTAGGATTGAGAGCTTCCGCTCACGGGCTTAGGGCTTAGGGAGCAATATTAGGGCAGGTTCAAGTACTATGAAACCGATGCCTAGCTTCCAACTCTATATGAAGGTTTGCGATGTAGAGTAGACGTTGGTTTGCCATAGAGAAATTGCAGACTGTAGGCTTAGACTGGAGTTCTTAGCTTAGTCTACGGTGCGAGCAGACGCGAAGCGGCGAAGCCACCCTCCTCCATCTGAACAGAACATGATTTGATATTAGCGACGCTCCTATTTTCCTTGAGCCAAAAGTAGCGTTAGTCGAGGTACATGTACTCATCCCTTTAGGAGAATACGTGTCCGGAATCACCCCTCCTGGACGGATGCGGGTGAGCTGACGTCCACTGTAGGACACTGTACACTACACTACTGCTTTTGCTATTCCGCTTCTACCGGAAACTAGCTCAAAGCTCATTCGACGCAGGTGTTGCTCGGCAGACTCAGTGCTTAAGGACTTGGTGAGCAAGTCCGCGGTATTGATCTTAGTATCGATCTTGAAAAGCTCGAACTGTCCGTTCGCAAGCTTCTCTTGGATCCATAGGTATCGTGTTTGCACGTGTCTGGATTTTCCCAGACCAAGACGACTGCATGTCCCCAGCGCAGCAGCGCTGTCGGTATGCACCTGTAACTTCGTTTCTATCCCCCATCCACGAAGAAGCTCTTGCGTGGCCATTCCGCTGGCTACACCCTTGACCAGTGCGTAGTATTCGGCCTCTCCCGAAGATAGCGACACTGTACTCTGGAGGTTGCTTGAATGTCGCACTTCGTGGCGTCCATAGTAACACACTAGTCCGGCGGTGCTCTTCCGTGTCTGGAGACATCCGGCGAAGTCACTGTCTGCATGGATCGTGACTATCGAACTAAACCTTTGTGGTGCGAACCTCTGCACCAGTCGCATTGCACCTTTCAAATACCGAGCAAGTCTCTTGAGGTCAGCAAAGTCCGCTTCAGTCGGGCCTTGCATTCTCCTCGCAAGACATTTGACCGATTCCGACAGGTCTGGCCTGTCTTGAGCCAGGAACGCTGCTCGCATAACCAGCGAGCGGTATTGGCTAACGCGCTCTGGCTCCACGGTCGGGAGCTGAAGTCTCTTCTCCAAATCTTCAGCTTTCATCTTCTCGTTTGGGCTCTTTACTGGCTTGCATGTTTCCATGTGTAGATCTTTCAGGATGATTTCGGCGTGCCTTGGATCAGGCTCATAGGAGATTACTCCTGACCTCTCGTCGAAGCGCACGAGACGGTTCAGGACGCAGAACTCCTGTTTCTTTTCTCCTGGTCCAATGCTGCCATCAACCCTTAAGTCGTATTTCTTCCTTAAGACCTTTTCCACATGTGCTTGACCATCGTCATCGGCGAGAATCAGAAAGTCGTCGCCGTGAACCAAAAGTCTTGTCTCTGTTGCGCTATTGTAGAAGATAGCTGGCCAAGCGGGACATCTAACGAATCCGGCTTCCAGTAACGCGGCGGTGTAGTCGGCTTGCCATATTGCCGCAGCGTCCCTGGTGCCATACATGGATCGTAGCAACTTGCCCACCATGCCTGGCTCCTGATCTCCTTCAGGCAACGTGACGTATATATCCCTTTGGGCCTTCCCATAGAAGTGGGCCCTGGATATATCCAGCAAGCGTAGCTTCAAAGGTTTTCGTCCCTTCTTTGACGTTTTCAGCGTCACCATAAGAGACAGCAACAGCTTGATTGCTTCCAACGGGGGCATTGCACTAAAGCTCGCATGTTCCGGGATGAACTCGGCGTTCTTTGCACGCTTGACTTCCCTGCAAACAATTCTCGAGCGATAGTTGGGCCGCTCGTTGTCTCCTTTGTTGCGGTCTACCCACTTCATGGTGATTGGAACCTTTCCAGCTGCCCTTGCTTGCTCTTCGGGAACTTTCTCGTAGAGGTTTTGTTTCCACACCCATTCGAGTTCCTCTCGGCGTGCAGCAGCCACTTTATCCAGGTCCAGTTCTGCTCCAGTGTTGGAGTCTATTACGGGTCCTTGGATTTGGTGGCCCACGTCGGGAAACTGGTTGTAGATCTCCTCTTCTTCATCGATCACGGGTGGAGAGTCTGGAACAGGTCCAGCCTCCATCGCATTTAACGCTTCTGAGAATTCACCATCCTCCACCAGCTGTTGGCGGAACGCCATCAGGATTCCTTTTACCAACTTGGGTGGATACTTTTGTGCTGCGCGTGCTCGACCATTGATAAGGCGTACGTGGCAGTGCCACACCTTGCCTTCGGTGTTCGAACACGCTCCTTGAAGCACATTGGCAACGCATCGCGAGTTTGTCAACCATCGCGTCTCTTTCTTCACCAAGCCTTTGCCCTGGGCATCCTCCGACTCCATGCCCCAACGGCACATTGGCCCGGTGACCTCGTACACGCGAGGGTCGGCTCGCAACTCTTTCACTTCCGGTTCTTCCCAGCTCCGTGCACCTTTTGGGTGCTCGTGTAGGAAATACCTTCCGGCTTCCATTTGCTTCCAGTATGCCTGAACGGCTGTTCGCAAATGTTTCTTTCCTTCTGCCAGTCGTTTGCGTCTCACTTCGACAGGCACTTTTGCATCTGCGTCAACCAAGTTTTGCAGGACAGAGAACGGCCCACATGGGGGCGATCCTCCCAAGAACTTTGGCTCTTGCTCGTCCAGTAGCACGAACAGCTCGCGCACGTGCGAGTCTTTGCTTAGATCCCAGTAGTCTCAATCTGGTCGTTGGGTTTCCAGGTCAATGGAAAATCCAGGCCTCATTCCAACGACATGTGCTTGCGCCGCTACTCGCGGCGGGGAGAAAATCTCGGAGATCGTGCCCTTCGCTCGTGCGTCCCTCAGGACAGCGCACAAGCACTCAGTAAGTTGACCCAGCTCGATTTCTCCGTCCCCGTTGCCTCCAGCTGAACCAGCTGATGGCTCCACGGGCTGTCGTTCGGGCTGAGGGTCACGGCTTCCTGCAGAAGGAAGCGGTCCCATTTCGACGACTGCTCCAGAGTCATCTTCAGGCTTTCCTCTCGCACTCTCAGCCTGCATCCTCTGATGCAGCTCTTCGAGGTCTTCGTCAGGGACTCTCTTGTTTCCCTTTCGTTCCTGCCTCCTTTTCTTTTCACTTGATCCTCCTCGAGCTTCTTCCCGCTCTCTCAGATCTTTGGCCACATTTCGTTCTAGCGGTTCTCCGGCTGCTTCTCCCGCAGCCATTTCGGCATCAGGCTCTGGTGCGCCTACCAACACCGGTGCGCTGGCAGCTACCACAGCCTCGGGTGCCCCTCCTCCGGGCTTTGGTCTTCGCCCAGCATTCAACCGATCTCGGACAGCTTCAATGCGTGCCCTTCCTTCTTCAGTCTTCTGAAGCTCGGACTGGATCCGCAATCTGCACTCATGATTGCGCGACCTATGTGGTAGGTCACACATCTGAGCATCGCACCCTGGGCATAACGGTGTGAACCCATGCCTTTCAAGATCAGATTTCAGCACGTACAGATTCCTTGGAATCACTTCTTCCTGTGGCAGTCGCCTCGGCTGCGCCACGACGGCCGGCAGCTCAACCCTCAGTTGGCCCGGCTCCCGCGCTTGGAGTCTCCAGGGAACACCCCGAAGTTCACTCCAGTTTTCGTACTTGTACTGATCTGCAGGAGGATGTCTCGTCACAGACGCTCCTTTCACCACACCTCTGGCTGTCATAATGAACACGTCATTGTCCACCCCGTGCCCATACTGACCCTTGGTTCTAGGTCATGCTTTCTCCCATCTCGCGGTTGTCTTGGCCGGAACAACACATGTTCCCCGAAACTCACCAGTGGCGTGCGCCACTTTCTACCGAACGTCCTTTCGTAAGGAGTTCGCCCATCCGCTCCAATGCGGAACCGCGATATTAGATAGGCTGCATGGCGTGGAAGCCAATGCATACAAGGGTGTGTCGGCTCGATTTCGAATCCAAGCCGCTCTTGCAGGTCTGACAGGATTGCTCGGATCTGCCGCTTCATTTCTCTCACTGCGACCTCAATGTAGCCATTTGACTGGTGGTCCTCCACTGGGACCTCCACGAGGTGGATCTTCAGATTCATTTCCTCCTTCACTCTTCGCTTGAGCGCGAGGATCCCGTTCTCGTTGTCGCTCTTTAAACAGAGCTCCTTAAATCCTGTTTCAAACAAGCAGCGTTTTAACCACTCTACTGCAAACAGGTCAGTTCCTTTTGCTGGAACGACGCTAGACCAGTACCTACCAGTCTTGCGACACTTAACTACCAAACACGGTAAAACCCCTTCACTCTCGCTCTTTTCTTGGCCAGAGTTCAGGTAAAAGTAGTCTAGTGAAACGTAAGGCAACCTACCCTCATCAGCATCGGCAGGTTCCCCTGTTGCGTGGCGTGGTGCCGTGACTCGAGCACGGCAGCAGTGGATGCACCATGAGCGGTGCACGCTGTGGCCCGTGGCCCTGTGCTGGTCGATCTCCTCCTGGCTCGGGTCGGCAGGAGATCGCTTCACGATCGCCATTCTCGCTTCTTCGCCTGCTTCTCCATCTCCAGCGGCTTCGTCGCCGCCGGCCGCTCCCGCAAAAGCCTTGGCTGCCCCTGAAAAGGAGCACTTTCTTCTTTCTCTTCGGCTTCACCTGTGGCGTTCAGCTCGGGCGCGTTGGTCTGGCGTGGCCGGACCCAAAAGTCCATCATGTAGATGCCGTTCTCCACATGCACTGGCGTGAGCTGCGCTCCGTGGCGTCTAACCAGCCCAGCCATGAACTTTTCGTACTCCTTGGCAGCCTCGCTGCCCAGCGGGATAAGGCACCCGCCGCGCCTCGACAACGCCAGGTGGTGACCCATGGCCACTTTGCTCCCCGACGCCAAGGGGCGGTGAACATTGGTAACTCTCCCGGCTACCCCTTTCGGGTTTCCGCGGGAGTCTGTGCCCTGAATGCACAGGCCACCTTCGTCTTGCATCACTTCGGCACTTGCCGTCTTGTAGGTCGTGCCGCTCGTGGGTCCGAGGTCGTAACCCATGCCCTTGAGCACTTCGGCAAGTTCGGTCGGGATCGCCGTGGCGGCGGCTCCCGTGTCCAGATTCAACCTGATGCGCTTCCACCCATCCACATCCTCGACCACTCCAGCCGAATCGGCCAAAGTGCCAAAGGAGTTGACAGGAACTGCTCCTGCATCGGGTGGTCCTCGTGGCCACTTTGGACCCTTTGGCCCGTCGTCTCTGTCGGGTGGAGGCTCGTTTTCGTCCTCCTCCTCGTCGTCGTCCTCCGGGTTTCCCTTGTTCCTCATCTCGCGCTTGCGCTTCCGGCGGCTCAAGTTCTTTCTCTGGTAGTACCCAGGCGGGCGCTTTCGAGGCTCCTTCGCCTTCCTTTCCGGGTTCGTTGCCAACAAGACCTCCTCGTCGTCCGGCTCCTGGCGTAGGTTCGCCCTCGCCCTCTTCGACAGCGGTGCGGCCTCAACAGCAGGCTCGTCGGCATCCTTGTCGCGCACCCGCTCGTCGACCGTGACGGTCTCGCCTTCGAAGCGGTCCGTCTTATCGATCTTGTGGCTGGACCCTTTTGAGTCGTACCGCCGGTGCCACTCTTGATCCTTCTCGATGCGGTCTGCGACGCGCTCTTTCAAGCCTTCTCGGCGATTCAGCAACGCTCTTCGGCGTCCCTTCTCGTTCTTCCAGGCTTGGTGGTGCGGCACTCCGGCCGCCCTGTCGGCAAAATACCGACTGTCGTGGAACGACTGGTCGTCGATATTCTCGCGCGTGATCACGATACTCTGCCGTGGCCGGTCGCGCTGCAGAGCTCGCCTTTGCTCTTCCATTTTCCTCTGCTCCTCTGGGTCTTCTTCCGAGGCGATATTCTGCCTCAAGGTCTCGGCCAAGGAACTTTTGAGCATCGCAAGCGACCCCGCTGTGAATCCGCTGCTTCGCCGCGGTCCTTCGGCTTTCGGCGTACTCTTTGCTGCGGGCTTAGGTGGCGGACCCTGGGGCTCGCTGGGCCTCCGAAGGTCTTTCCTCGGCGCTAGCGTCCTCTTCGACGACGTGACCTTTGGAGTGCCTCCAGGCGAACCGCCCGGAGCACGACTCCTTGTCTCCGCCTCTTCGTTTCCTTTCTTCGCCTTCTTGTCCTTCTTCTCTTTCTTCTCATTCTTCTCTTTCCTTCGCTCTTCCAGCCGGCGCTTTGCTCTTCCAACGGCTTCTTCCGCGAACCGCCGCACTGCCGAACGACCACGCGTCCGCCTCTCCGAACACGTGTCGCAATCGGTGCCTTGCGCCTTCAAAGCGGCGTCTCCAATCGAGCCTCTGGGCAGGGCCTTTCTCATCTCCTTCTTGTGCTCGATCCTTTCTGAGAAACGCATGCTGCTCCACTTCTCCTTGGGCAGGAGCGCGAAGCCTTTGGACGACGTCGCGGGCGCCTTAGGCTCGTCTTCGGACGACTCGTCCCCGCTCGGGCGCGTAAGCTCTCGCTTCGGCACCTTCGGCATTGCCTTCACCTTCACTTCAGACTTAGGCATGTGCTTGAACAACGGTCCCGCTTTCGGTGCCTTTGGTCTAGGCATTGTTTTCTGCTTCGGTCTCGATGGCGCTGGCTGCTTCGGGTCGGCGACCATCGGCATATCTAGCGCAGGCTTTGTGGTCACAGGTGGCTTAGGTAGAGCGGCACGTGGCGTGGCGGGCGCGGGTGTTGAAGTCGCGCTGGCTCCTGAACCCAAGGAAGCAAGCTGAGCCGCCTGCTGCCCTATGATCGCCCCAAGGGCCAAGTTGACACGCAGCAAGCGCGCCATTCCTTCTTCTTTCTACTCTTTCGCCAGGGGTGCAGCTACGTGGAGCGCACCTAAGGCTAGGTAGTTACTTTCGTTTGAGCCCGCGGCTTCGTTCCAGTCGCCGTCGTCCCAACCTAACGCTTCCCAGTCACCACCGTCCCATTCTGCGGCCTCCTCTCCTTCGGGTTCCCTTTGCTCCTCCACGTTTCCTACCGCCTTCGGCTTTCCACCTTTTCCTCCTCTTCCTTTGCCACCTTTGCCTTTGCCTTTGCCGCCTTTTCCTCCTTTGTCGCCTTTTCCTTTGGGCTTCTTGTCCTTTCCTCCTTTGCTCGAGGGCGTGCCTTTGCTGGTGTTGTTGTTGTTGGTACCGCCCAGGCGCCCAACACTCCGACTTGATGTGTCCCGGCTTGCCGCAGTTGTGGCACTTGATCGCTCGTCGATCTGCGCCTTTTCCTTTTCCTTTGCCTCCACCTCCGAACGCGCCAATGTCCATCGGCGTTGGTCCTTGCTCGTTCGACGAACTTCCAGGCTTCAACTTCAGACCGATCCTCGTCTCGAGGTACGACGAGAGTTCCTTCCGGACCTCATCGTAGTCTGCGAAGCGTGCCTGGTTGAGTTGGAGGTGGCGCTCGACCTCTGCCGGACAGATGGACTCCAGGATAGCAACCCGGATGTCTTCATCTAACGTCGGCCTCGAGCCATCCGGCTTCCGCCGGTTCTCGTACTGCCTTACTTGCTCTTCCCACGATTCTACCGCGGCCGAAAGCTCTTCGATCTTGTTTACCCGGCTTGGGTTCAGCACGCTCCGAAGCAAGGCTCTTCTACGCCCTCCGGTGGAAGGGTCGTATCTTTTGCACAAGCGCCTCCACGCTTCGAGTCCGTTGCCTTTCCCGGCCGCACGGATAATCGTGAACGCTTCCTTTTCGCAAAGCGTCTGGAGCACTGCATACAGCTGCTGGCTTTTCCCTTCAAGCTCAGGTACTTCGTGCTGCGAAGGGTTCACACTCCCAAACGCAGCCGCAACGGATGCGCCGCTAATCGGGTCTGTTTCTTCTTCTGCCCACGTCATGGGGTCTTCAAGATCTTCGTGGACCGACTGGACGAAAGCCTCCAATCGAATCTTCCACTGAAGAAAGTCTGCTGTTCCATCGTAGCTGTGAGGTTTCGCCAAACCTCGGTTGTCCACAAGAGTCACCTTCTTCGGATCTCTTCTCGTGCTCTCCAAGATGGCTTTCTGCGTCTCGACCATCTGCTCCATAGTGGCTTGGAGCGTCGGTGCAATGGCACCCTGCTGGACTTGCGCCAGTCTAGTGTTCAGGTCTTCTTCCCGACGCCTGCTCTCTTGGAGCTCCGTTTGCAACACCGCCAGCTGTTGCGCCAGCTGGTCGAACCTTTGTTCTACCGAGGCCATCGCCTCTAGTTTCTCCGACGAACTAAGGCCCTCGCTCCTGGCTGAACCAGCCTAGAGCCGAGCAACCTTGCCCTGAAGGCCGGTGTAAGGTCCAGATCCCTTAGGAAATTCCCAAGGTGTCCCCACAACCTTTGGAGGTGGCGGAGTCGAAACAGTTTCCGCACCAGGCGTGCCCACAACAGCGTGACGTTGCGTCGTGCCCTTCTAGCACACAGTCGCAGTACAAACATTCACCGCTGGAACGCAACCGAGCGCTCCGCTACCATGATTTGATATTAGCGACGCTCCTATTTTCCTTGAGCCAAAAGTAGCGTTAGTCGAGGTACATGTACTCATCCCTTTAGGAGAATACGTGTCCGGAATCAGAACACCACCCTAGACCCTAAATCCTGTAAACCCCGAAAACTTTACCCTGCAGACCCTGAATCCTGAGCCTCTACACACGGTAAGCCCGAAACCTAAACCCTAAACCCTAAACCCTAAACCCTAAACCCTAAACCCTAAACCCTAAACCCTAAACCCTAAACCCTAAGCAACCCTAAGGCCTAAACCCTGTCCACCCTGAAAGCACTGTGATTCATTCCCGAACCTTAGCTGCCCTTGACCTCGTGTTGTGCCTGCTTTCGTGGGGCTCCAGGGTTTAGGGTTTAGGGTTTAGGGTTTGGGTCAAGCTTGCTGGGCTCTTCAGGACACTGTGTCTGTTTGGGGGGTGCATCGTGGGATCCCCAACCCTAAACCCTAAACCCTAAACCCTAAACCCTAAACCCTAAACCCTAAACCCTAAACCCTAAACCCTAAACCCTAAACCCTAAACCCTAAACCCTATCGATGGCAGGGCCTCGCTGTCCCTTATGCAAACTCCGCTCCTTGGACCGACTCATGAGAGCAAAATCGGCTTCGACTGTTTGGGGTGGGGGGGGGGGGGGCCCTAAACCCTAAACCCTAAACCCTAAACCCTAAACCCTAAACCCTAAACCTATGGACCTCAAAGGGAAGGGAGGCCTAAACCCTGTGGGCCGCGCCGATGGTGTATCCGCGCTCGATCACACAATTCCGGCGGTGGCCGGATCCTTGGTCAAAATCACTCGTGGCACCCTTTGTACCTTGGGTAGGGTGTAGGGTTTAGGGGGTTTAGGGAGGACAGGGTTGTAGTCTCCAGACGGTGGTCATAGAAGCCATATGGGCAGTTTTGTGACTCTAAACCCTAAACCCTGAACTCTACAACCTAAACCCCAAAGCCTAAACCCTACACCCTACACCCTAAACCCTAACCCCCGAAGGTTTCGGATTTAGGGTTAGTACTGGCGGCCGTGTCACCATCCCAATAGGAGTACGTCACTTCCAGCTTCGTCTTCTTGATCTGCCAAGGGGTTTAGGGTTTAGGGTTAGGGTTTAGGGTTTAGGGTTTAGGATTTAGGGTTTCGGGTTTAGGGTTTCGGGTTTAAGGGTGTAGGGGTGGTTTCAGAAGGTTGCGGGGTTGAAGGGGGTCAGGCGTTTAGAGGTTTAAGGCTTGAAGGGTATAAGTATAGGGGTCGAAGGGTCGCAGGGGTCCGCAGTGCCCCAAACGACCTATTCTAACAAACTTCCTCAACCCGAAACCCTAAACCCTAAACCCTAAACCCTGAACCCCAAACGCTAAACCCTAAACCCTAAACCCTGGATGCTGGCCTCTTCCTGCTCCTTCTTGTACTGCACCTTCCAACACGCCCAGGTTTCCAAGAGGTCTGGTATGAGGGTCTCTGATTCAGGCTGTAATTAGAGTTTAGGGTTTAGGGTTTAGGGTTTAGGGTTTAGGTTCAGGGTTTAGGGTTCAGGGTTTAGGGTTCAGGGTTTAGGGTTTTCCCAGAATAGTGCTGAAAAAGGACTAGCGGGTGCCATAAATCCGTATTAGGGACTGCTACAAGAGGGGGAACATCCCCATTGTCGGGGTCTCGAGTCTATGTAGGGCTTAGGGTCCAGAGGTCCAGTGTTTAGGTACCCTAAAACCCCTCAACCCTAAACCCTAAACCCTAAACCCTAAACCCTAAATAAACCCTAAACCCTAAACCCTAGGCCGATCTACCCCACTTCGTGCCAGACCCTCTGTGGAAACTAATAGCCGTGGATGCTCCCCCTTGTACTAACAGTCCTTGGCAGGGATTACAATAGAGGGTACCATAATCCATATTCATTATTAACCAACATCCCAAACCATAGCCCCTAAATCTGAAGCAAAAAAAACCCAAGCAGAGAGGCCTAAGTCGCGCAAGAAACCTTATTCACTCGAAGTTCAGGGCGTTCGGGGTTTTAGGGTTTAGGGCGAGGGTTTTGGGTTTAGGGCTTAGGGCTTAGGGCTTAGGGTTTAGGGTTTAGGGTTTAGGGCTTAGGGCTTAGGGTTTAGGGTTTGGGGTGTAGGGTTTAGGGTTTAGGGTTTAGGGTTTAGGGTTTAGGGTTTAGGGTTCGCCCCTCCGCTCCCCTCCCCCCCCAACTACAAGCTCAGGTTCTGGCAATGAGCTCCTTCTTCTTCCTGAGCAGCTCGGCCTCCCTGTCCGCGTCGTACCTCGAGGTTTAGGGTTTAGGGTTTAGGGTTTAGGGATGCTGGAAGCCGCGGATGCTTCTGATCGCCCAGCTTAGCTGGCGATCGCAAGGATTCTAATTTTGATAGGTCTTACAAACCCTAAAGCCTGAACCCTAAGCCCTAAACCTTAACCCTGAACCCTAAACCCTGAACCCTAATACAGTCCGGAGGAATATGAAGAATTGCCCCCACGACGCTCACTGCGACAGATGCGGAAATGCTTTTTGCCATGCGGGCTTTTGAGCAGCACTGCAACAACCACTATTTGCTTCAGAAGCCCCCCCCAAAAAAAGAACACAAGAAGATAGTAATACCTGTATAAGAAACCCGAAACTCTAAACCCGAAACCCTAAACCCTGAATCCTAAACCCTAAACCCTAAACCCTAAACCCTACACTCGGCGGGGTTCTTCAGCAAATAGCAGACTCCTCAGGCGGGTGCATGTTCCGTTCGAACAAGCACCTGGGTAGCAACGTGTCTCACCCGGCTGGAGGTGACCAAAACAGCCTATGATGCAGAGCGCATTGGGGGTTGAAGGTTTAAGGTACTTAGGGTTTAGGGCTAGGGTTTAGGGTTGAGGGTTGAGGGTTTAGGGTTTAGGGCTTAGGGTTTGGGGTTTAGGGCTTGGGAACCCAGGTTACCTCCAGTAGGCCCGGATATTCAGGGCCTGAGTGCCGGCACTTATAGAAACGAGCAGTGAGCATTTGGCGCAGCGGTGCAAACCCTAAACCCTAAACCATAAACCCTGAACCCTAAACCCTAAACATGTCCTGAAGGCACCTCGCTGCTATGGCCGCTAAGCAACGCGCATGGCCTTGCGATGCAGCTTAAGACTCTACAGCTGTCAGCCAGTCAACAGCTGAAGCTTCCAACAAGGGGTCGGAATAACTAGTAATGGTCTTCCCTTATGGCTCCCTCTTTATCTTTACTAACCCCCCCCCCCAAAAAAAAACCTATTCCAAGTATTCAGGCGGCACGTAGGACATGGACTCTTGAAAACAGAAGATGACATCCACCACTGTCCCGAACACGGAAGCAAAACCCATCAATCCGAGAGCCCTTTTCAAGGCTTGCTTTCCTTCTTCCAACTCTGACCCGAGCAGTTTCGCATTTGCGGATAAGCTGGTGTCAACATGGAGGTAGCCAAGACTGTAATCTTCCACCTTCTCAGATGCCCAAGTCTTGTAGATGAACTGGGCTGTGAAGACGAAGTACCCAAGGAGCACAATGCACAAGCAACCAAACAGGAAAATGGACAGAACCATAAGAACGAGGGAGGCATTCTGAACAGCCTGCTGCTGGCAGAAACTATTTACCGTCCAGGAGAACAAGTACACAATCGGCAGCGCGAGAGTAAGGGAGAGTCCCAAGCCAGGGATGTAGCACATCACATAGCTGTTGTTGTACCAGTACACCCAATACAGCATCACCAAAGCCAGCTTTGAGAAAGAGGACAAAACAAACATGAGGCCCTGCCCAACTGTCAAGCAGAGCGACTGGACCTTGGACCACTTGCCGTAAAACGACACGCCGTTCTCGACGACCACAATGGCGAACACCAGCACAATCGCATACCATAGCATGGTTTGCCTCTTGTCAGCCCAGTGACAGTAACCATGCTAAAATCAGGGTAATTACCCTTTCTTGGATTGGTTTCTTTATACAACAACCCAGAACCAAACAATATAGGGTCTTGGGGTCTTAGGGTTTAGGGCAAAAAGGGTGCTACTGGGCTACCAGCGCCTCGTATAGCGGAGCTCGGGGACGGAGTCTTTCCCGGCCAGCCAACGTAGGGCCCAAAAGTCCTGCATCGGGGTTGGCCATCTGTACTCAATGCGCCGCCCACACTTGTTGATCACAACCTTCTCGTCGTACTGGTGTATATTCATGACCTCATGCGCCCAGGAACACTGTTTTGGTCTTCCTAAAGCCTAGCCCTGAACCCTAAACCCTAAACCCTAAGCCCTAAGCCCTAAACCCTAAACCTTTCAAGTTTAGTACAGTCTGGTGCCGGAACAGAGGCAGGAGACCGAATTGGGATCCTCCTGGCTCGAGCTTGGGATTTCCTGGTCCCATTGCTGGTCATCCGCCGAGTCATCCACGTAGACCTGGTTTTTTGGTTTAGGGTTTGGGGTTTGGGGTTTGGGACCACAGCTCGATTCTTTAGCTTGTGAGTGCAGCAACATTTACTGATTTGACCTCCAGGTGCCCCATCGACTTGGCTGACTGATATAAGCCTCGCACTCCCGGAAACCGCCTCTTCGTTCTTGTCAAACTCCTTGCACCAATCTGGCACCACGACGTGCACGGGACCCCAGAACTCTGGCAGCTGGACTGTCAGCAAGTAGCCCGTGTACTCGGGTAGGGTTTGCATCAAAGCTCTCTCCTGCTGAGGCAAGCTGAAGACGGCCAGGAAGACGCCAATCGCTTCTAGGAGGGTCACCAGGTAGCTCGTGTAAGTCAGGCAGGTTTTCATGTCCATGGCGGCTAGACACGTTGGGACACTTTGGCCCAACAACACGCCACCTGCTTGGGAGACGACGGTCACACGACGTACCATGCGCAAGCTGCCGTCATGACCGGACCCATGTGTGACCTCGGAATTCAAAGGGTGCCCCTTTTTGGGTTAAAGGGGCTTCTAAGGGAACCGAAACCCTAAAAAGGGACTCAGCATCATCGCCTCTACACAACAGTCCCCTCCCAAACCCTCGCCACAATGTCAGGTCATTCATCTACAGACCGGCCCAGTCCCAGATCATGGCCGCCCACACAACTTCTGCAGAAGTCTGCCCGGCATGCAACAACTGGGACAGCAGCATACCCTAAACCGCAAACCCTAAATCCTAAACCCTGAGCCCTGAACCCCAAACCCTAAACCTATGAGTTAAACCTATGACTTGCTGACTCCGCCAAAACTGAAAAAAACCCAAACAAACCCAAACCTGCAAGCAGAGTCACCTGTGTGCTTACTCTCTTTTGGGCGTGAGATGTCTAACCACTGTGGGTGTATTGTTTAGGGTTTAGGGTTTAGGGTGTAGGGTTTTGGGTTTAAGTTTTCTAACCTGTCTTTAAGAGAAAAGACTGCAACCCTGATCCACCGACGGCCCAGATCCGTTGCACCGGAAATAGCACCTATAAATACATTATGTATATTTGAATTCCGTGTGTATATATACACACAGAATGAATATGTGTGCATGTATATACATATATGTATATATATATATATATATATATCCGTGAATCATATATATGTATACATTTGTATACATCCATATCTGCTTGTGGCCTACACACCTATACCGTAAACACACATGTGAGAATTTCCATGTATGTATGTATATGTATATATATATATATATATATTTATTTATTTAAATCCTCTATAAATAAATAAATAAACAAATAAACAAATAGATAAATTAAGATGAATATATAAATATATAAATATAAGTACCAATTAAATATAAAAAGAAATAGAAATATAAGTATATTTATAAATATAAGTATGAATAAATAAAAAAAATAAATAAATAGATAATATATATTTCTGTATATATATATATACATATTAGTATATTGCGTTGTGTGCAGAAGTCTGAAGCGCACAAGAAGTCGGTCTTGGCATTCGGGTTCTTGCCGAACCTCGCGCGCACCAGCCACAGACCCACAGCTGCAAATCATACTCCTTGAGGGTTTAGGTTCAGGGTTGCAGGTTTAGGGCTTAGAGTTGAGAGTTTAGGGAGTTTAGGGTTTTTGGGGTTTAGGCTCAATTCTCAGAGACTCTGGTTCCAAAATGCTCGAGATCCCAAACCCGACGCCGTGTAAACCAATTCACATACAGTATGCACTCACCAATATTATATTTAAAGAAGGAACCCTATAAGCACATACACTCACTGAGGGCTTTAGGGCGTCGAGGATGCTGTAAGGCTTACTTAGAATAGTGCTTCAGGGATTTGAATCGGATTTAGGCTCTTCGGGCGCTAGATAGCCTGCAAATGGGCGAAGAACCTGGACTGGAATCCAAGGTATCCCGTCTGTGGAGTTTCCTTGGTCTACAGTAGTCCAGGCAGAGGAGGGCTCGTCCTGAACCAGATCCGCCACGAAAGCAGAACCAACCCTGTGCCAGAAAAGTGCGCAAGAGGCACCTTCTAAATGAAGGTCTTCTTTTCAGTGCCTTCTAAGGGCAGCACAGCCACCCTAAACCCTAGACCCTAAACCCCAAACTTAAACCCTAAACCCTAAACCCCAAACCGTAAACCCTAAACCCTAAACCCTAGACCCTAGACCCCCCAAAAAGGGGACGAACCACCTCTTCTTCCTGATCTTGATCTCGTCATCACTCTCCGAGGCGTCCTGGAGCAAGGCTGGGTTCAGGGTGCGAAGGGAAGCTCGCAACAACGGCGTAGGGTTTAGGGTTTAGGGTTTAGGGTTTAGGGTTTAGGGTTTAGTGTTTAGGGTTTAGTGTTTAGGGTTTAGGGTTGAGGGTTTAGAGTTTTGGGTCTAGGGTTTAGGCTTTAGGGTCCGGGGTTTGGGGTTTTGGGTTTAGGGTTTGAGTTCAGGGTTCCGGGGCCTCGTCCTTGCGAGCAGTCGGAAGAAATCCGGGCTAACAGCCCCCAAGTAAGCCGCCCTAAACCCTAAACCCTAAACCCTAAACCCTAAACCCTAAACCCTAAACCCTAAACCCTGAACCCCAAAACCTTATAACTAGCGAAGCCAGGGTCGGCCCAGTGAACCCTACAAGGCGACCCAATCTCAGGGTTGGACTTCGTAGCGTGAAACTTGAAGCACCCCCGGGTTCTTAGCAGGGAATGGGGGAATAAGGGGTTTTAAAAACAAATATATATATATATATATATATGCTCACCCCCCCCCTCGACAGACCCCGGAAGCGAAAAAAAGGCTGAGGGCGCGACGGACAGCATAGCTGCACACAGTAGCCAGACACGTTAACACACAATAGAGCATATTTTTTTCGATTAGTACGGCTTTGTGTTCGCAATGAAAGATGCAGACAGATGTGAGAAGGACGCATGCTGTAAGGACCTGAACAACTTGCTCGACATCGTGGATTGCTATTAATTTTAATAAGGTTGCTCTTAGTTTTACTTGGGTTCCTATTAAGTTTATTAGGATTCATAGGCTTCGTATGAGTTCAATAGGAATCCTATTTAAATCAATAGGAACCCCATTAAAATGAATGAGAACCCTATTGAAATTAAGACGAGTCTTTTTTGAAAACTTAGTAAGAATCCTAGTACAATTAATAAGAACCTGGTTGAAATACGTAGAAGCTCCTATTAAAATTTCTTGGCGTCCTAAATTCAGAGGAACCATAGGAAGGCCATTCAAATGAATAGGAACCCTTTGAATTCATAGGAATGCTATTAAAATTAATAGGAACCCTACAAAAGAATCTATGAATTCTCTTTAAGAGTAACAGGAATCCGTGTGACATGAAGATGAATCCTTTTAAAGGATTAAGAGGAGCCAATAAAATTCTATAAAAAAAGTAATGTGGACCCTTCAAAACTTAAAACACTAAGAGTCGTACTGTTAGAATGATAATAAACACTATTAAAACATTTAATTAACAGGATTGCTAAAAAAACAAATGAGAGTTACAATAACATTACTTCGAGTCCAATTGAAATGAATAGGGAACAGGATTTAAAAATATAATCGGAGCACTGTGGAATCTAGTAGGAATCCTATGAACATGATTAGGAATCCTGTCAACATGAATGAGCAACCCTGTTAAAATGAATACGAAGCCTATTCCAATTAATCAGAAGCCTTTTTAAATGAATAGGAAGCTTGTCAAAGCAAAAGGAACCCAGTTAGAAATTGTAAGACATCTTATGAAAATGAATAAGAAGCCTATTGAAATTAATAGGAATATGTATAAAATTTGTTATGAAGCTTTTTAAATTTCTAAGACTTTTATTAAAACTAACTAGGAAGAAGAATGTCATTACAATTACTCAGAATCGTATTCCAATTATTTGGCATTTGATTAAAATGAATAGGAATCAATATTAAACCCAATAAAGTCCTTTAACAGGCATCCTTTAAAATCTAATACGAACCCCATTAAACAAATACAGGAATCCCATTGCCATTGAAAATCACTTAGAATGCTAGTAAAATGATTAGGAGTCTTGTTAATTAAATACGGACTCCCGTTAAAGTGAACAGGAGTATTATTAAATTTAATAGGCAGCCTAAAACATAATAAGGAATCATATAAGAACCCCTGAAAAACTCTTATCAAAAATCCAGTTTCTAAAAATCCAAAAATCCAAACATCCAAACATCCACCCCAAAGGTTTGGATTTTTGGAAACTCGAGCGGGAGCCTCAAAATCCAAAAATCGTGCAAATTCCTCGAGTTTCCAAAATTCCAAAAATCCAAAAAAATCCACCCCAAGGTTTGGAATTTTGGAAACTCGAGGAATTTGCTCGATTTTTTGATTTTGAGGCTCCGGCTCGAGTTTCCAATTTCATATTTCTCATGAGTGTAGAACCCCTAAAAGAATCTCACCAAAACCTGAGTTTCCAAAAATCCAAAATTCCAACCCAAGTTTCGGATTTTTGGAAAATCGAGGAATTTGCTCAAAATCCAAAAAAACCCAAAATTCCTCGAGTTTCCAAAATTCCAAAAATCCAAAAATCCCAACCCAAGTTTCGGATTTTTGGAAACTCGAGGAATTTGCTCAAAATCCAAAAAAGCCCAAAATTCCTCGAGTTTCCAAAATTCCAAAAATCCAAAAATCCCAACCCCAGTTTCGGATTTTTGGAAACTCGAGGAATTTGCTCAAAATCCAAAAAAACCCAAAATTCCTCGAGTTTCCAAAACTTCCAAAATCCAAAAACTCCACCCCAAGGTTTGGATTTTTAGAAACTCGAGCGGGAGCCTCGAAATCCAAAAAAACCCAAAATTCCTCGAGTTTCCAAAATTCCAAAAATCCAAAAACCCCAACCCAAGTTTCGGATTTTTGGAAACTCGAGGAATTTGCTCAAAATCCAAAAAAGCCCAAAATTCCTCGAGTTTCCAAAATTCCAAAAATCCAAAAATCCCAGCCCCAGTTTCGGATTTTTGGAAACTCGAGGAATTTTGGGTTTTTTTGGATGTTGAGCAAATTCCTCGAGTTTCCAAAAATCCGAAACTTGGGTTGGGATTTTTGGATTTTTGGAAACTCGAGGAATTTTGGGTTTTTTTGGATTTTGAGCAAATTCTTCGAGTTTCCAAAAATCCGAAACTGGGGTTGGGATTTTTGGATTTTTGGATTTTTGGAAACTCGAGGAATTTTGGGTTTTTTTTGGATTTTGAGCAAATTCCTCGAGTTTCCAAAAATCCGAAACTTGGGTTGGGATTTTTGGATTTTTGGATTTTGGAAACTCGAGGAATTTTGGGTTTTTTTTGGATTTTGAGCAAATTCCTCGAGTTTCCAAAAATCCGAAACTTGGGTTGGGTTTT